TCTGGCAATGTTTCCCCTGGTGAGTATAGTCGAGGAGGTTTAGATGTACGCAACCTTACTTCTAATCGGTTTAGACTGCATTTATAGAAACAAAATGCTAGATTGATTGATGTTTATTTTGTACTACTTGATATTTTTGCAGCTTTGATGAGATTAAATGAAGGGTTTAAGTATGCAAACAATCCAGGATTATGTGGAGTTGGTTTTCCTACTTTGAGAAGTTGTCCTGATTCTGATCACCTTGGTCAAATTAGGCCTGAACCTTATGGAGGAGGGGCTGCAACATCGAATGGTTTACCTAGGAAAGAAATCCCCGAAACAGCTAATGTTAAGCTTCCTAATTGTAGCCAAACTGAATGCTCGAAAACCACACGAAAAAGTTCTCATGCTTCTGTTGCTGTAGGAGTTGTGGTTGTGATCCTTGCATTGTCACTTGTTAGTGTTTTCATCTTTGCCAAATATCGCCGTACAAAGCAGAAACTCGGGAGTTCATTGGAGTTATCTGACACTCGTCTTAGTATTGATCAGCCTAGGGATTTCTGTAGGAAAAATGGGTCTCCTTTGATTAGTCTTGAGTATCCTAATGGATGGGATCCTTTATCTGATGTTAGGAGTTTCAATGGGTTTTCAAATGATGTGATTCAAGGGTTTCGGTTTAATTTGGAGGAAGTAGAATGTGCTACTCAGCACTTCTCACCATCTAACTTGTTGGGTAAGAGTGGTATGTCGGCTGTGTTTAGAGGAGTCTTGAGAGATGGTTCAGTTGTTGCTGTCAAGAGGATCAGTAAGAGTAGTTGCAAGTCTGAGGAGTCCGAGTTTCTGAAGGGTTTGAATGTTTTGACCTCTTTGAGGCACGAAAATCTGGTTAAATTGAGAGGCTTTTGTTGTTCAAGGGGAAGGGGTGAATGCTTTTTGGTCTATGACTTTGTCCCTAATGGGATTTTACTTAAGTACCTTGACCTGAAAGATGGTGATGCAAATGTCTTCGAATGGTCTACTCGTGTCTGGATCATTCATGGCATCGCCAAAGGTTAGTTCTGTTTCCTCTGCCTCTTCATATTTTAGGGGTTTTTCAAATGATTAAGCAACTGATAACTCTAAATTGTAGGGTGGTTTCAGATGAGCATCTTACTTAATTCATGATTGTCAGATACTTTACTGTCCTGCACCTAAATTAACATGATTTTTGGCTGTTTTCCTATCTGCAGGAATACAATATATGCACACCTCCAAAACCAGCAAGCCAGCGCTAATTCACCAGAACATTTCAGCCGAGAAGGTTCTGATAGACAAACGATTCAACCCTGTGCTAGCTGACTGTGGCCTCTACAAGCTCCTAACCAATGACACCGTGTTCTCAGCACTTAAGGCGAGTGCAGCAATGGGATACTTGGCTCCTGAGTACACCACAACTGGCAAGTTCACTGAGAAGAGTGATGTCTATGCTTTTGGCATGCTTGTGTTTCAAATCATCTCAGGGAGGAGGAAAATAAGCAATTCCATTCGTGCTGGTGCTGAATCACTGCGATCTCAAGAATACGTGGATTCAAACCTTCATGGAAAATTCTCAGAGTTTGAGGCAGCTAAGCTTGCGAAAATAGCTTTGAGTTGTACCCATGAATTGCCTAACGAAAGGCCTTCGATGGATACAATCATCCTAGACTTAGGTAGCTGTACTAATTGTTATCGATCTCCATGACTTCAGGACTAATTGGTGCTAATTAAGTGTCATTATCTGTTTAGAATTTTCTTGTCTTCAGGACTAAATTAAGTATTTGTTTCCTGGAGTCAATTGTGATTTGTAGACTGTAGGTACTAAGTGTCATTAACTGAAGTGTTTTCTGGCAAATGCAATGAGAAAAATGTGATCTTCTGTTCTTAGTAGTACTTTGATTCTTCTTTCAAATTCATATTCTTTTGCATGGTAATTTATTAATTTCATGTAGGAAGAATCATTTACTGTCTTTATAAGTTAATATTAAAACGAATATGGAACAATAAATAATTTTCATTTACCACAAGCAAAGTTTGTTAATTTTTTTTAGTACTAAACATAGTGCTAGCAAACTTTACCACACATCCTATGAGTACTTGACCAAATGGTAGCAATTTAAGAATACGTGATAAAAATCTTTTGGTGATTAATGTTTGTCTTAACTAATGTACAGTACTATACATTTTATTTTTTACATGCAACGAACCTTAAGGGTCATATACTACCTCCGATTTTTTTTAGTTGCAATTTTGGGGTATTATTGAGAGAGATAAAATATTCCAAAGTTGCAACTAAAAAAAATCGGAGGTAGTATATCATATTTCTTTCTTGTTTATCCAAAATATCCATCTTATGGTTATACCATTATAGTATGACTTGTCACTAATTCAAACCATAAAAAATTATGTGAACAAATTTGCTGAGTAATTAATTGAAATGTCCTATCAATATGGAATTTTATTGAACTAATAACTTCACATTGAAGCAAAAGTCTTAAAATTCCCTGAACTCATTATAGGAAATCAATTATTTTTTGTGTCTTTATCTTTAAAATCAACTTCACATTAAGATGACATTAATCTTTTTTTTTTTTTTTTTTTTTTTTTTTTGTCTCTAATGGCATCATCATCACACATTCAAATTGCTGTTTTTTCCTACTTAGGCAAAAGTCTTTTTCATAACTATAATTTCCTTATTTTTGTCATATATAGTAGAATGGTCCAATATAAATTACTATCACTAATCTTTTATTTTTTGCTTTTATTTTGCTAATAATAATAAAACAATCTCATTTCAAAAATTAAAAAATGCCAAGTTCTTGGACCACTGTACCTTGACGTTTATATTTGTATGTTAAGGCCAAGAAAGTTTTTAAGTTCCCAAAATGGAGATATATTAGCATTATATTTAAAGATTGTTGCACACAAATAAGTAGGCACATTGTTTTATGCAATAGAAAAATAACAACAAAAAAGATAGAGAAAACACAAAGAAGAAAGACAAACATATAGGGCAATTCTTTTGAAAAGAGCTTATAAACAAGTAGTAGCACACTAGCACACCAAACAAGTTTTAGGAAATCATGTGACAATCACATTAAAAGTACTTGTATATTTTAGTTGTCTTACTCTTTGTCTTTCCTCTTCTTAACTTCTTCTATTTGGCATTCTTGCTAACACATTTTCAATACCTTTTTTCATGGGTGATGGTGTAGAGGAGAGGTTTTGATGGAGACAAATTCTTATAGAAGTTGCAAGCTGGTTATTTGAATTGGATCGATTTTATTTTGGATTTTCTACGTTATGTGTATCGAATAACTTTCAATTCATTTGTTGATGTCATTTGGCTAATTGCAGGTGAGAACAAAAAAAATAAAAATAGAAAAACGAATGGTATTTTGCTATTCACTGAAGGAGGAGAGATAAGAAAAATCCCTTAAATGAGTCCAAAACGTTTAATCCTTAGACCTTAGGGATACAAAGTGGAGAGCAATGTATAATTATTGTTTTTGATAAGAGAAATAAATATAATTAGTGGTGATATATATCAATATAATTTATTGTTTTTTATAAGAGAAATCAATATATTATTGGTTATACTATTCTCTTGTTATATTGATTTCTTAGTATTTTCTTGAATATTCTTCAAAACTAATATAGGTATTAAATTTAAAAGGTGATATAGGTAAAAAGTGACCTTTCATATCCAAAAAAAAAAAAAAAAAAAAAAAAAAAAGAAAAGGTACCATACTAGTATTTAGATGTTTAACTATTTGAAAAATACTTTGTAGATAAGTTATAAATTTAAGTAAGCCAAGAAAAATCATTATCAAGCATTTGAAGGAATTCTAAACTTAATATTCATTTTTAGTTTTGAAACTAGAGTTGATGAGCTGGGAACTACTGGGCCTTTGAGATGATTGGGCTTGAAATTGGATGGAACCTTCATGTACACAGGCCAACTCGCACAACCTTACGATTCGTATACATTTATAAATCCAATAATTTTGGGTTGGTATGAATCCAATATTGGAATATTGGTCACTTGCATAATCCATTTTATTGAGATGAGCAATTATTGCATGATCACGTACCAATAATCTTCGTCCTCACCAAAGGGTGGTTATCAATTATCATAAGAACTAATTGTTACAGTACAATTTACCAAGGAAATGAGTACCATTTTGGAACCATACAATACCTTCTTCCTAATTATATGGACCTTTATTCTTAGCAAATTTTTCTTTGTGTAGGTCATATACATAATACTCCCTCCGTCCCAAAAAGAACGACTCATTTGGGTTGATTACGCGGGTATTAAGGAAGTAAAGTAAAAATAAGTAAAAGTATATTGGAAAGATAAATTTACATGGGTTTGTAAAAAAATAGAGAGAGAAAGTAATAAAATAACATGGAAAATGAAATTTTTATATGGGGAAGCTAATTTTGCACAAATATTGTTGCAAATTGGTGGTGTTTTAATGCAAATGGGTCATTCTTTTTGGGACAAAGTTTTGACCAAATGGGTCGTTCTTTTTGGTACGGAGGGAGTATCATTTTAGCAAGATCAGATTAAACTTTTATATTTCCTAAAATAGTCATGACCTAACTGATTGAAATTTGATAGATCAATTCGACTAAACTATTATGTAAGGTACACCATTATATATAATCACATGATTATAACATGGTCTTGGAATAATGTAATGGAGGTAGTAGAACTTAAATAATGTCTTCTTTGGGAGAAAGAATTAGGCTAATCAAGGGGAAATCGAGTTCATTTTCTTTGCAATAATGCATGCATGATATGAGTATTACATTACATACTACAAACTCTTACACCATTAAATTTATCTACAATTCCTTATCTTTACTTTCAAAGAATCTAATAATAATACAATTACATACCATAGATTATACTCATGCCATGAACCAATAATAATGCTATGAAAACAATACTTTTGCTTATTTCATAGCATTAAACAAGGTAATTATCCATCCCTTTCTTAATCCTCATTAGGGCATGAAACTCTAAATACATGTTCTTCTCCTGTATGATGATCAACTTTAACAACCCATTTACTCTTCCTTCCAAAGCTCCCACGACGACCATCCTTCCCTCGTTCTCTCATCTCATTAGCACCCGCGATTCTAGTCACTAACAAACCTTCTCCTATAGGCAACAATTGAGTCCTAACCCCGGCCCATTCCCATGAACTCGAACAAAATGCGTTACACCCCAAAACTATAGCCCCCTTACACTTCCTACCACTATTTACTTGCACTGCTCGAAGAATTGCTTCGTGGTTCATGAGCTTACAATCATTTAGTACAAAATCCGCGTCCTTAAACTCTTCAAGGATTAGCCTCTCAGCATCACCTATGACAAACTCGATTAGGTTTGTGGTATCTTGCCCAAGGGCTTGCATGGTTGATTGAAATTCCTCTACACCGCGAATTATGCAAGCAACACGGCCTCCAGTTTGATGAGCCGCGGCCACTAGGGCTAGTAACGTAGTTAGGCTCGTGTCCTCACCACACGTAACAACCATAAGTTGTGCATCATTTCCTGCTGCTATAGCTGAGATGAATTCCGATACATCCGGCTCATCACTAGGCTTCTTAATACCCTGCATTACATAATAATCAAAGGATAAACAAACTTAGTCCCTAGGAAAAAAATGACGGAAATAAATAAAAAGTTAAAGATAACACGATATGGTGACACTGAAAACTTAAAATGTACATTTACTTACCAATTTTAAGGTTTCGAGGAATGCTTTGGTTGCGTTTTCAGCTGACCAGTTAGTGAATTTCCCTTCCATTTTTGTAGTTTGTGTTATTGCTTCCTATCTTACATGCATTTCCCTTAGATTTCTTACAAAAATTGTTAAGTGTATATATAGGAGGCAGAGCAAGAAAATTAAGGCGAGTTGTTGCAAGAAACACTGACATGCCAACTGGCATTTTTGTTTATTGATCATCTTTTGTAACAGTGACATACTCGTAACGATTTTATTATACGAGGTCATTTACAAAGTAGCATATGAGTACACTAACACGTACGTTAACAATACTAGTGACAAATTTGTACCCAAATAAACCTACGGATTAGGATTAATGTTCACCTTCGACGATCAAGCTTAACATTCTCCAATAGAAATTAATGAAATACGTGCATTGATTACGATTGTATTAACCTAATATTATAAGGTTAAACAATGAACAATTGGATTTGATTCCTATCTTATACACGCACGACGATTTCTGACGTTTGTGCCATTTTCCAATGTTAAGTAACCAATATTAGCTGTAATGTTGTTCTATTGTTGGACATTTTTGAAAATATAAACTGCTATAATCAGAGACTTAGCTACTTGAATATATTATAAATCTTCTTGTTGCTTAGATTTGACCTGGGAGACAGACATTGTAATGGCCAAGTTTAATTAAATCTTTCATTAAAACGAGTTTTTTTTATGAAATAATCTTGATAATGTTAGAGGGTTTGTTGTTTTAGTATTGTAGTTAATTGTACTAATTGTTATCCTAAGCTAAACTGTATGTACTAAATTCCATAAATGTATGTACTCAACTGTACGGTTTGCTTCAGAGAGGAGAATTCGACACGGCATCATTGTGTGATTTTCACTTAATAAGCTAATTGTTTAGTTCAAAATACTAATTACAGTTTACTAATTAAGCAAAGTTCATAGATATTGAGCCTCGGTAATTTTAAATTGTGTACGATCGTATACGATAGCATTGTAGATTGTTGCAAGGTACTCTACTGGTCTGGCACCTTGAATAGTTGTGATGGTAACTCTAATAACTTAAAATTTGCGTGGTGGTTGAGATAAACAAAATTTACCAAATACTCGGGATCAACCAATAGATCCCCTCATTATTTGGTACATTACTAATATAACTATTGAATGATCTGGTAAATTGAAATAAATGTGAAATTTTTGAGTCCAAAATTGGACTCATAATAACAAGTAAAATGTAATGCAATTTGGGCAATTCATGAAGACCAAAATAATGAACATTTTACCACAATATGGGCTGGATATGTAATGTAAATTCGTAACGTTATCCAAAGGAAGTTTCACACAACAAAATGCTTTCAGTATTCAGAAACTACATTACACATTTTTTTCAGAAAACTGGTAATTCTATCAGGACATCAGATAAAAACACAGCATTTAGCCTGCTCTGGAACCTTCAAATTCATCAACCAGTAAGTAATGTCAGAGAAATGATGAACTTATTATTATGACTACTACTCATTAATCCATCCTGTGTTTCTGATCTAGATCATTGCATGTTGTTTGTACAATAAATCGACGTACGATTGGGTTCACCCATAGATTTCATTTGTTCAATCGACATGGATATACACAGATATAACTCCTGCAATCCCTGCCATGTTAACTGTTATAAAACAACCAAGGCAACAAGTTAATATCAGATGTGAATTTTTGCCACTCCCATGCATTATCCCATACTTTGTTTGTTCCTTTATTATCTTACAATGCATCTTCTAGTTACCTCCCCCCTTCCCTCCCTAATAACCCATCTGAATATTTATGATTTCTGACAGAATTATCGCGCTGATGCTCCACATCCATTCCTGCTATTGTAACCTTACTCCCAAGATAATGTCAAAATAATCACATTTTCTTTCCCTTATCTTCCAACCACTTTCCCATACCATTATTTTTTTCTTACCTAAATATAAGGGTTCCCTTGGCAGAATTATGGTCTTCGCGCTGCCTCCTCAACACTGCACATAGATCTGTCCCTGCTTGCATTGCCCCCTTCCCTCGATAACACATTAATAATTGCTGGTCTCGCGCTCTAAAATAAAAGAGATTCAATATTTTGTATGACTTAGACCTTACTGAAACATGATTATTATTATTTTCTTTGTAGTTGCTTCCTTCACTTGTTGTGTTGCTTCCTACATCTCTTGAGATTCTTCACCCCTGCCTTTAATGAATTCGTGCCACTCGATGAGATGCATCGGATATTATATTGTCAATATCGGAAAATTTCAAAAGTGTTGCATATAATTTACAGATAAGATTTCCTTAAGGCCAGGCCACCATTTGGTACATACATACAGCAGAAAATTAAAATTAATGCAGCTTACCTATTCATTGAACAAAATAATAATGTGGTCCTACCCCTTGCACTCGTGCATCTTACTGTATTTTTAGATTCTCTTCCATAATTCGATTTGGTCTTATTACTTGCTTGCAGTTAGCTACATCCAGCACACGATCATATGATATCGAAGCATTTATGTTAGCGCGATTACATCATTATAATCACCAATGCAACTTGTTTATGTTGTTATTTTTGTTAATAAGTCAGTAGTCACATGAAAACAGAATGTATTTTGTGCCTTTTGGCTCTTTGATTAAGTACTGCAGGAACTCGCTTTTGTTGTTAATTAGTCAGTAATCACATGAAACTAAGCTATATAATGTGGTTTGTGCCTTTTGGCTCTTTGATGAAGTGCTAATACAGAGCAATTAGAATGTAAATTATCATAGTTTTTAATATAAGATGTAAGTCTGAAAATTAAAGTCAGATCTTGAAACTCTGAAATATGTCAGAGATTTTATATCAGTATATGCAACATGTATACTGTCTATTACAAGCTGGCATTGGAGAGTAGGGTGAATGTTAACTTATTAGTTATTACTATCTGTTTGGTTTATCTTTGGAGTTGTGAATTTTCAAATTGTATATCCAGCCAAATATTTCTCTGGTAACAAGGTGTCTAGGAAAATGGGTTCGTTAAACGAACCTGTAATATAGATTTCGTAACGAATTATAGATTAGCGTGCGCATAAGATCGTGAAATTGAAGGCTAAATAAAGAGAAAATACAAGTTCATCTTCATGATAAACATAAAAACGTTTATCTAGTGACATTTTTGTAAATAAATCAAAAAAATTTGTCAAATGTGGACCCTAGTAATGTTGATTTATTTACAGAAACGCCATGATGACTGGGATTTTATATTGATTTATTTACGGAATTGCCACTAGATAAACGTTTTTTGTTCATCATGAAGATGAACTGGGATTGTGTAACGCTATGTAATGACCGTCTATTGATTAACAGGAAAACAAATTTCTATGAAATAGTTCAACACAAAATGTACTTCATTTTTCAATCTTTAATTAGGTTTATTTATTACGAAGTGATAGGGTATAAAATTTGAGAAAACAAATGGAGAACCTTCAAATTATTTATTTATTTTTATTTTTATTTTGCGACTGAATGAAGATCAATAGGAATCGAAATGCAACTCTAACATAATCAAAGGTTAATTAATTAACAAGCCTACTTGCCAAGCTTTGAGCTAGTGGCTTCTTGATGTATGTACCGACCTTTAATTTAGTTTTTTTGTTAATTAGTAAAGTTTACTTCTTAACCTTTGCTTGATCTTAAACCAATTAAAAACAAAGTGAAGAGGTAAGTTAGCTGTAAATTGGAACAAAAAGGCAAAAGACATTACAATTTGATTAATTAGTCTTTTTGTTTAGTGCTTAATAGATCTACTAGATATATTATACTGTATATCCTCAAAGTTATTGAATGAACAAGTACAAATTAGCTAAGAATGCTTTCAAGGCTTAGGAAAGTACTCCAAATAATAATGTCAAGGAAAGTAACATGTACAAGCTACTAAGCTCAATTATTCATATGTACAAATTATGATATTTTCATCAAAAACACTTTCTTTTTCTTCATTATTAACACTTTTGATTGATGTGACAAAGTTGACTTACACCTAATTACACGAGTTTTAACCAAAATTATATGATTTGATTTTGATTCGTATTTATATTAATCTTGTTCGAACAAATTAATCTAGCTCAAAATTAATACTTCATATCAGAATAGATTTGGATTGATATTACTCCAATCCAAACTTATTAATCTGTCCAAGAATGATATGAGAATATTGATAAATTTACATTATAGTAGAATCAGTTTGTATATTATTATGAATTAAATGGACTTCAAATTGAATTAAACTGTTTGACTCATCAGTAGAATATGACTTAGCTTGAACTAAATTAATCCGAAACTAATTGTAATATATATCTGATAGTTGTAAGATTAGTAAATTAATCAACTCAATTGCTCGAAAAATTGGTTCAAATCTTGGCTTAAAATTACTTACATTACATATTTACACTTGCAAAGTCTACACATGAGATTGTAAAAATGGAATTCAACCACTTTCAAAATCAATCAAAACTTTTAACCTAATAATGACATTAATTTTAAGCCTATAAACCAGCAGCAGCAATTTCTAGTTTTCTTTGAGGTGATCTTACTCTAAATACATGTTCTTCACCAGTACATTTATCAACCTTAACAATCCAATTACTCTTCTTTACACTTTTCTCACACATAACATCCCTTCCATTGTTTCCATCAAATCTTGTAACCAACAAACCATCACCAATAGGCAACAAATGTGTCCTTAGACCACTCCATTGCCACGAAGATCCCTTGCAAAACGCGTTATAACCCAAAATCACACCACTTTTCTCTCTTCTCATCACGTGCATCCCTCTCATGACACCCTCATAGTCCTTAAGATTACAATCAACAAGGAAAAAATCCGCGTTTTTGTACTCATTAAGCAACAAATCTTTAGCATCACCAACAACAAAATTAACATATTTTGCATCAGACTTAAGAGCGCGTTTAGATGAAAGTAATTCTTCGCGTCCAGGGACAATGCAGGTTACATGACCTCCTGTTTGATGTGCTGCAGAAACTAAGGCTAACAAATTTGGTGTAACCATTTTTTGGGCACATGCTGCAACCATTACTTGTGCATTGTTCCCTGCTGCTAGGGCTGATATGAATTCGGCCGCATTTGGTTCCTTTTCTTTTGTTTCCTGTAAACAAATAAATCAAACACATGAGATACTGTTAAAAAAAAAACTCGATTTTACATTACATGAAACAAATTATATTTTCTTAAGAAAAAATATAGTAAAAAAAATTATCAAATGCTTACCATTTTAAGAGTTCTAATGTATGCCTTGGTAGCATTTTCAGGTGACCAACAAGCCATTTTTTTTTTCTTGAATTTAATTTTCTTCAGAAAATAATAATTGGGTTTTAAATTGATACTTGTATGAAGAATGAATTGAAGAGTTAGTTGATAGTATGTCCATGCTACAACTATATATATACATACATATACAAAGGGCTTAAAGTATAGTTTATGGGACAAGTTAGAGTCATAACAGCTGGCTTGTCTGGGTAGATGATATTATATTAATAATATCTTAAAATTACTGATTTTTAAAAAATAATAATAATAAAGAGTTATATGAAATGGGAATATGTGGATTTTGTTAGCCTAACTCAGATTGATAAAATCTCTTGTACTTTTGTGCATATCCTACCAAACTATTAAAATTTGGGACTTCAATAATAATTTGTAACAAAAAAGTATGTCATGTCCTTTTACTACCATTATTTTGTATTATATGTTACCATTATTCATCAATAGTTTAAGTTAAATGAAAAAAACTGGTTTAATGTTTGCTTTTGTGATGAGTTTTTCTTATATCACTTATAGAAAGTTATTAAGATTAGCATTAAAAGTATTGTAGATTGATCAAGATTGAGTTCTAAACCACAAACGATACATCGAATAACCACTTCTATACCCCTAACTATAGATCTCATTCTCATGAACACGAAAATCTTAAAGTGGAGATCGAAATATCAATTAAAATTGAATTAATTACGTAGTCTAATTTATTACCCATAGTTTTAAAGGAAAAGATGATAATATATTTATAAAGGAAGAAGTGAAAATAGTATATAGTATTGTCAGTATAATCAGTAAAATTATGTTAAAACAAAAAAAGGTTAAAGGATGCACTCAAGAGTAGACTCAAGTCACTCAACCCACCCAAATTAGAAATAAGACTTTCATTTATAGACATTGATGTTGAGAGAGTACACAAATTGTACTAAGTTGGAAGTTTTAGGTATAGATTTTTGTACAATTAATTCAATCAATTATGGATTAATTGCACATATAACTTAATCCAAATACATTTAATTCAATAAATCAATGCCTAATTAACATATGCATGTGTTAGTTTTGATAAATTATTATAGCCTATAACATGCCTTTGGGACATTGATCATGTTTATTTGCTAATAGTGGAACTCATAGCACTTTTTGAATGGGTCCGTGAGGATCCATTGCATGTGGTGCACCAATACTTAAGCCCAAGTTGTGTATATATGAACTAGTGTACTACTTTGGTGAGAGTAAGATATTTAGTTCCAATTAAGAAGGTTTAATTATTAATTAAGCTTTGGAAAATTAAATTGGTTGGGAATTAAGTACTAGTACAATCGATTTAACTTTTATAATATATTGCTATTTAAGTACTCCGTATATATTTATTAGATGAATCTTTAACTAATTTCTTTAGGAAAATAGTGATAATTTATAAGTATCACTAATCGTTAAAAAAAAGAAGTTATGATTCACTAAAAAAATTATGTGATGAGGACAAGACCTTAATAATTATCACTTCATTATTCTGAAAAATTCGATAAATATTTAAGGACAAAAAAAATTTAGTTGAACAAATCCTAATTGACGTAGACTAGTAATAGATAGGGCATTAGGTACAACGCATTTGAAAAATAAACTCACTTAAACAAAATGAATTTGACCTATGCTATTAGTTTGGGTTATGTATCGAACTGACTATACATATTCTTGGGACGTCGACCCATGTGCACAAGCAAGTGCAATGCACCACATTAGTTGATCGATGGGTCCATGACCTATTGCAAGTGGTGCACTTACGAGAAAAGGTTATGCACACTAATGCATGTATCAGGAACTTTGACAGCGTATATATAATATAAGTAGGTTTTGGTCTATTCCGAGAGTACAATATAAATTTTCAAAAAGAACTTTATCAATAATGAGTGAAATTAAACAAAACTATTGAAAATAATTTTGAAGTATAATCTGGGCAATAATAATTCTTCTGAGGATTAGCTTCCTGGATCTTTCTTCTAATATAAAAATACACTTTAAATCATAGAGGATCTTCAGTAAATAAGAAAATAAAAGAAATCATGGTTGTAATGTCTAATTTTTGGGGAGCATTTATAAGGTTCAATGCCAAATGGATCGACAAATCATTTAATTATTTATTTAATTAATTATTGGCTGAAAGACAAATCATTAAATTCATTAGTTGAAGACCGAGCAAAAGGACAATACGTTCATGTGCATCAATTCATATAAATTAATATACAATTTTATTTTAAGGTCCATTGTCAACACAAATTATGCTATAAGAGAAATACGTTAAATTAGAGAATAGTAAAATACAAGGTACTATAATTGTACCAGCTGTTTGGAAATCAAAGGAAGGAATCTTTGCATGTATTATTGATTTACTCTGTATTAAATAAGATTTTAACCTATCCTTTTAATCCAATGAAGCAAGCAAATACCGGACGTGACTATGTATAATCATTATATTTGTCGTATCTCTATATGTTAATTAGCTTAGTTGGTTAACTGGTTAAGACAGTATTGAGATTGAAATCTTAAATGTGAAATGATCAAATCTTGTAAATATCATTGTCTGTTGTAATAATCTCTCTATAACGAAAATATTTTAACTACAAAAACTGCTTATTTTTAATCAGGGAATGTCCTCAAAATCTTAATGTTTACAGTGCTATCATCACATCAATAACTTGTGGGTCTATGGACCTTGGTAAGTTATGGGCCTACAGTTAGGGGAAACATATCAGCATGGGTCACATGGCATAAAGCCCACTTTAGGCCCGGCTTGTCGTAAGGACCCGATTAGACCGTGCCTTGGCCATCTTACGGCCCTACCCGAAGATTGTCCCGTGCCCGGCCCAGTGAATCAATGAAATAATTATAAGATTAACAAAACTTGATTAGAAATTTCAGAATTTAATGAAATAAAAATCTTCAAAACAACATATCTAGTATATTATAAAGTTGAGAATGGAACAATATTAAGGTACTAGAATAAAGATTACTAGTGAAAATTATGTAAATGATTCCTAGACAAATGGGAAACAAAGGATACATTGAGTTGATTGGAATTATGTTCAATGTTGTGAAAAACATAAACAAAGGAATTAAGAGCAGTGTTTGATGCTTGCAATTGGAGAGGCCCAATTATATAATTTCTCAAGGTTCTTATTACTTTGTTATTGTCCCATTATTCATTGTATGGGGGTATGTATGCCTCATCCGTACAATATGTGAAAATAAAATTAAAAAAAAAGTGACTTTGATTATTTTATTTTTAGTGGCTTTAAGCTTTGGTTCCACAAAAGTTAAAACTAATACGAAAGTATAACTATTTTTGGAGGGGTTGTGTAAGAATTTGCAAATTGATTGATTGAGAAGTGATATGGCTTCATTAGTTAATTATTAATAGATAAAGTACCAATTATAAGAAGATTGCTTGGACAAAATGTTTGGTTTAAGACTTTAAGGTTTACAACCATATTTCTAGTTTATACTTTTTAAGGACCTGCTTGCAATATTTATAAAGTTTATAACTATGGTTTGATCATTAAGAAAAAAAATGTTTCAAATTATATTTAATTGTTGATAGAAGTCATAGTAGAACAAGTAGCCTAAAATCGTTGTAGCTTGAAAATATGATGTTGATCTTGTAGCTCACTCACTATTTAAGATGCTTTTAGGACTATGTTTAGCTCTTCGCGTATACTTGATGCGACTATAATTTTAATTGGAAGAATTGGTCTATTTTCCATATAGAGAAAAAATAAAAATTGTTGATTTCTTATCACATGATTTGATAATACATATAAATATAATAGAAAAATTAATTACCAAACAAAACTTAACCTGGTGGTCAAGATAGAGCCTTCTAACCTTAGAGCTTCAAACCCCAATACGACCACTAAGGTTGGGAATTTCCCTTACTTCCCCTCAATTTGGGTGTTAAAGAAGAATAGAGGCAATCTAAGTTTTTCCAAATCTCCAACAAATGATACCCTTATGTAGGCATCAAATACTCCCTCCATTCTTGTAAATCTTATGTGTATTTTAAAATTGTTGTTACCTAAACATAGTACTCCATAATGATTTATATTAGGCCTAATGCATCTGATCGAAACAAAGACAACTATTAATCTTGAGCTGAAATTGAAGAAATATGATTCATGGCAAGATTATAAACACATAAAACTACAATATGGAATAATTGAGTATATTCCAGAAAATTTCATAGAAACATACCCAAAGTCATGGACTTCGAAAATAGCCAATGTAAATTGTATTTCATTCACAATAAAAACTCATATAGTTTACAGCTATTGCCTATCATCGTTTTTCTCCACATTGTCATTTCTTTACCAAGTCTAAAGTTTATTGTATAAACACAGTTTATAGACTTGTAAATTTGTAATACAGCACAAAGAGGTTCAGTAATAACAGCAGCATTGTATCTGAAATAGAAGACACTAATTACCATCTAGATTTGCACTTTTTGCCTCCATGAGCCCGTTTCGTAACTGGTCACTGATGTCTCTGACATGACCAGGGCCATGGGGAATGAAAACAGTGGTATTATTTGATTGACTACCAAGATCCCTGATTGTATCAAAGTATTGAGTGACCATGATAAGATCCATGATTTCTTTAGAGGATGTTCCTTCAACCTTGTTTGAGAAGTTCAATATATTCTCTCTCAAACCGTCTGTGATTGCCTGCCTTTGCCTTGCCACTCCAACCCCGCCCAAATACTTGGATTCTGCTTCAGCCTCAGCCTTCTTCACTTGCAGAATTTTTTCTGCTTCTCCTTTATACACGCTAGCTAGCTGAAGCCTTTGGGCTGTACATAAATACAATTAAGGTTATAAAAATCAAATATTAAAAGAAAACTGTCAAAAATATCGCCTTTTAAAGTGTGTTATTCAGAACCCAAGGCCCCGCACTCTGGGGGGAAAAAAAAGCTTAAAACCCTAACTAAAAACTTAATATCTAAAACCACCCCTCACTTTAGTCGCATCACAACAGCCACCCATAAACATTAATTTGTCAATTAATAGTCACGGTTAGGGGGTACTATTCTTTGTAACTCCAACTAAAGTAATAATCTATATGAAGACATCACATAAGGTTTGTAGTACTTTTCCTAATACATTTTCCTCTAGGATTGGTATTGGTAGTTTTCTGAGGAAATTAGAGCAGGTATTAATTAATTTCAGTAGAACAGCTACACCTTGGGTGGTTTCTGGTTAGGTTTCCAACATTAGAACTTGAAAAACAAAGACCATAGGAATTGATTTAAAAAGATAAAGGTCACTTTGAATGTCGTAATATTGCACTCCAATATGCTAAATTTTCTATTTGCAAAGGAACAAATAGTACATTTATAAAATCAAATGGAATAAGATCATAACCTGCATTAATCTCATTCATTGCTTTGCGAACTGCTGGATCAGGTATAATATCAACCATCAGAATGTGCTCTATGCTGTATCCATATTCTCCCATTACCTGTTCAAGGTTTCACAGTTTATCATAATTTGAAGAGATCAAACATGAAACACGGATAACTTCCCCACAAGTTCCCAACTGACTTAATGATTAAAAAACTACTGATCAAGTAGGAATGAGCTAAGAAGTATGAACCAAGTAAGCTCATTTAATTTTCTTCACAGCCGCAATGAACACTCCATACTTCAGTGATCACATCATGGGTTAACAATTTGTTGTGGAACGGGTCAATAAGGTCAACAAAGCTATCGGACCAATTCAACCACCACTTTTGGTGTACTCCAGGCGCGCAAAACAGGGGCAGCAGCAAGGGTCAATTGTGAGAAGGAACAATGAACAACAGGACAAGGACAATTAAGGGGAAGTTGAGGAAAGAAGGCAGCCTCCTTTAATCATAACCTTTGTGGGTTTCTATTTTAGTTAATTAATGTCACATGTTCTAGTTAAGTCTTGAGTATATGTATTGTAGTTAGGGGGCAGTAGAGACCATCCAGAAATTAGTGAAAACACATGAGAGACTTGTGGCCTCAAGCTACTGTGAGATTCATAACCTCAAGTTATGCCTATCCCTTGTAATTCAATCATCAGTGAATCAAATACTCAAGTTTAAGCCTTGGTTCTTGCAAATTGTCTTAAATTATAATTGCAGTAAGTTAGTCTATTACACAATTGTACATCATTCATTATTGCTAGGAGATGCTTATATACACAACTATGAGATCTTATTATGTTAGGAGGCCAACACCCTAGGAGCAATGGAAAGAAACATCTATGACAAAGGAGCTAAGACAAAACTGTAATAGACTAGCCTAAGGGGGGTAGTATGGGTAGTTTAGTAATATTAGTTTGCTAGGTTAATACGGAGTAGTCTCTTAGTATAAATAGAGAAGGAAGAGAAAGAATAGGGAGGCAGAAATTTGGTATGAACCTTTTGGAGAGTTATGGCCTAAAGCCATTTTGGAAAATTGTGAGCTAAACTCACTTTCGAAGATTGATAGCCTTAAGCTATTAACGTATCGTTTGTAACCCTTTTACCATTATCATTTGTTAGTAAAGCTTCCATCATTCGTATTCTTGCAACTTACAAAAATCAGATTATCTACATGACTCAAAGAATCGATTTTTCTCTATAGTTTTACTGTTATTTGCATGAGTAAGTAAGCAGTAAACATCAGTTCATTACACAAACATAGTTTGGTATGCATAGGAGAAGAAAGCTACTTCTTCTAAGAATAAGGAAAGCAAATCAGATCTGAGTTTGCCAAAGAATAGACAAGAAATGAAGAAACAGAGATAGTTTGTTTATTAGAAACAATTACCTTTGCAAGTTCCTCTAGTACATGTTTAGCAACCTCGCCTTTTTGTTCAAACAGCTCATCTAAATTCATCTTTGGGACAACAGCACGAACAACTACAATATCACAAATATTAAAATATTACTATGTTAGTAACTGGGAGAGGAAAAGAAATAACAGTGAGCCACAACTACACAAGAGGAGAGGAAGAGATTATCATACATAACAAAATGAGAAATGAATTCGCTTTTGTACACAATGCAAGCAGAAAGAAAAAAACTGGTAATATTACCATCAAAAACATAGGCTTGAATCTGCTCTCTAGGATTTTGCAGTTCGTAAAATGCATCATCAGCATTTTGTTTAACCACACGGTATTGAATTGAGCATAACATTTGCACAAAGACATTATCCTGCAAGATAGCATTATTTAGATATGCAAGATAAGGATCCAGTATTAGATAATGAAGCTTTTGTAATATGCAATGCATAAGGGGAAACCATAGAGACCATTGCACTAGTAATTTTGCAATTATATGACCTATAAGCATCTTGAAGAAAATAAAATGCCACAGAGAAGAACTAATAAGCCATGAAAAAAGCACAAGTTGATGTAGTTATTGACAATACTTTGCCAATGTATCAATTATTAAAGAGAATGATGCCATTGTTAAATCTAGTTTAGACTGCCTCAAGAATGATTCTTTTTACATTATTAATTTACTCAAAACCATATATCATGTCTTATAACAACTCACAAGCAATGTTATATCCACCCCACGCTATACACACCCACAAAAAATGCAACTAGCAAAATTCCACTGTACCTCAGAGCCTGCGCCATGCTTTCTTGACAAATCGTTCAGCAAAACTAAATTAAATACAGAGCCAAAACCACTAAAAAGTCACACGAACAATCTGTAGAAAAGTTCCTCACTAGATTGACCTCATATAAGGAAACCTAGGACCGCTGCTCCTAGAATCATCAAAATTTCGTGCAGCAAGTATTCAACAAGAAAAATCAAAGTTATTAATCCGAATTCGGATAATTGCACCATCCATCTAAGCTAACAGCCTCAACATTTAGATCAAAACCTCCCCCAATTCAACAGAAAGTCAATCACAAGTGATTCATCATAAGTAAATGATCAACATTAACCACATAAAATGTATATGCATAAAAATAAAAAATAAAACCTCCTAAACCCTAATAGTAACCGATCCTAGCAGGGCAAGAAAACCTAATCACAATAAAGATATATGATATAAAAACCCCAATAAAAAATCAATCACATAAAATTGTAAGAATACACCATCAAAATCTCAATTTTGGAAATAAGGGTTTTTCAAGTTGATCAAATCCAGAGTCCCAGATACAATACATGAAATTCACACAAAATTAAGACCTAAAATCAAATACCCACATTCAAAAACACCCAGAATTGTATGAATCATTCAATTTCAAGAAAGATAATTATCAAATTACAAGAAAAAACCTTAGTTTTGGTCTCAATTTTGACGTCCAGAGAATTGATACGAGTAGAGAGAACACCAGCAAGCATTTGACCGGCGAAGGGGTTGAAGAAGTGAAGGCCTGGTTCTGCAAGTTTTTCAAATCGACCCCATTTTTCAATCACTCCAACGCTTGCTTGATCAATACACCCACCAAATAAACAAACTGTATTCCCCATTTTTTGAAGATCAATTCAGAATAATTGAGAATTCAAAATGTTGTGAATTGTAATCAGGGAATTAGAGAGAAGAGATGAAGGTCACAAACAAAGTGTCAAAACCTTGGCTTTGAATGAGAGACGTGGGACCTAGAAGAACGCGGGTAAGGAACTAAAGGATCGCATATAAATTATAAACGATACATGGAATAGCAAATTCTTATATTTTGCAGATTACGGTCCTTTAAAGTTTGAATTTTACAAATTGCACCTATTTGAGAAATTTTTTTTGTAAATCGCAACCCAAAAATACTACTCCCTTCGTCCCAGTAAGAATGATCCTTTTACTCTTTTACGTCTATTTTGCAAATACGTAGTAAAAAAAAAAGTAAAAGTATATTGACAAGATAAATTTACACAAAGTTTGTAAAAAAGTCGAATGGTCATCAAATTTTTTATTACTTTCTCTCTCTCTTCATGTCCACCCAAAATGAGCAATTATTGATTGTTGCTCTTATGTGAGGAATAAATGCTAGAAATAAAAATCTAATAAAGAAACATAGGGAGTACTTATTTTAGAAAGTTTTACTAATAATACAGCATAACCATTAATACTCGTATAAATTATTTTACTTTTTGATAAAAAATACAAAATATTCTCTTTTAAAAATAAATGCTTGTAATAAATAGACATGCTCGTAATTTTGCTTTACTCAAGATATCTATATCAGTAAGGGCCTGTTCTCATTGACTGAACTGAAATGAGCTTAGCTGAACTGAATATTTTATAAGAGAAGGAAATTAGGAGCTGCAATGAACTGAACTGAGCTGAATTTCAACGTAAGAGAACATACCCTAATTCGTATTTCATGGAATAGCTAGTTGAAAAATGGCTCAAATCAACACATGGCCATTGGCCAACCTTGTGTATATAAAGAGACTTCCAAAAACATATGAATTCAGAGGTTTCTTTCACAATCGAAAATGTCAAATATAAGTATAAATACCACAAGATTAGATCTTATATCATTTATAATGTAAGGTTCCTCATACCACCAAACTACCTGCAATGGTCCCTCAAAAAAAAAAAAAAAAAAAAAAAAAAAAAAAAAAAAAAAAAAAACTACCTGCAATGGGCTTGTTGCCCTTGCTAGTAGAGGATGCCATTAGCTTAAAACAAATTGGCCAATAAATTAGAAAAAAAAATATATTAAATCAGTCTGAATCAAAATTATGCAGAGTAGACAAAGCTAAATTGTGCAATATTATTCAATCAAATATCATTAGGCCTTGTAATAATGTAAAACAGTATCGTTCAGCAAAACTTTACACTTTACTCTCACAAAATTCACTATAAGGTAAAAGGAACAAAATTTGCTTGTCCATGCTCATACTGCTTGCTTTCGCCAAAATTGAGATTTATCGAAATGTCTACAGAAATGGAAATTCCATTGAAAGCAAGATTATCAAGCGACATCAACCAATTCAACATCAAAGACTAGCCATGCATTGGGGGGAATCTGAGGAGGAGCACCAGAGGCACCATAACTGCACCATCAAATATTTTGTTATCAGATTTTATCTCACTAATAGCAGAGAACTGTGAGACAGATTTTTTCCTTATAAAAGAAGGTAACAAAGACATTGTAAATTGTACATCGACAAGAAGAGAAAGGTATTCCATGAGACTTGTAGGTTGCATTTTGTGTAATCACCTTGACTTGATAGAGCTATATGAAGGTAAGATCCTCAATATATTCACAAAATTTAAAGATTTAACTTATATTCCATTGTACATCAGCTTAACTCTATCATTTATATGCAAGCTTTGTGAATAAGATCCTTACCCCATTGAAGGTGGAATTGTAAGCCTTCTTTTGTCACCAACACGCATGCCTAACATCAAATATCACAAATCAGTAATTAAAACTCGATAAAACAAGCAAAGGATTCATATATTTTTGAATTTTATTTCTACCTTCAACACCAACATCCCAACCCTTGATAACTTGACCAATACCTGTTACATGAAGCAATAGAATAAGTTGACAATCCCACAGCACAACAAATTTGTAAACTTAAAATGCCAGTGTTTACCTAGACGAAATTTGAAGGGTTTTCCGCTAGTGTTAGAGTCAAAGCGTTTGCCATTCTTCTGCAACTTCCCAATATAGTAAACACTAACCTGGAATTTTAAGAGATGTCAGAAGCTACAGGGAGGTGGTCTACAATCCTTTATCAACCAGGATCATTCAACCAAGTTCTCATACTAAAAGCTTAAATATTCAAGTCCTGGATCATTAATCTCAGATGGTGGATATACAATCCACCTATTTTCTCCAATTCAATTAAAATTAAAACAGTACCAAACCACCCTTCAACCTCAGGGAAAATACCAACAATTGAAGGATAAAGTAATGGTGTGTTAACAGGGTCAATCAAGTACCCAGCAAGAAACACCAATAAGAGTACCCCCCCTCCTCTCTCTCTCATTATACCCATCCTCAATCGAGTAGCTGACTTCCCTTGCAAATCACAAATCTGACTTTCCTTACCGACAGTAACCAGCTCTATGCATTTCCCCTGTTACCCCCAGTATTCCTTCTAGAATAAGTCAGCATATTGGGTACTAACTAATAAGCAGTCAATGCACTCAAGACCTTCAAATCTGTTTGATTAGATCTTGTGATGGGGCCACAATGAAAATAAACAATTCTTTTCTTCGAACTCTTTGAATAGAATGATTGGCAGTCCCAAGGTGCTTGTACAAACCATGGTGTTCAGGTTATTTCTGGCAGTATAAACACTAGTCCTTGGCCTTTTATTCTTAAATCTGTCACTACAAGAAAAAAGAACTCTAGCACCAAACCACTACAGCATATGCTGCTTATTATTGTGGCAGCAGCCATATGTTTTAATCCCTATATTCCATCCACCTTCTCCCCTCCACACATTTACAAAAAAAAAAAAAAAAAAAAAACCTGCATTAAATGTACAAACTCACTACAGCCATGAACACCAACAAATGAACCACTGAAAATAATCAAAACATTTTACAGAAGAATATTGAATCAAACACAACAAAAAATATATTAACATTTTTATTCCCCTTTGGGCTAAGAAAGGATCATTGAGCCAAAAACACAAGCTTACCTTGCTACCACGAGAAGCTCTTTTACCATCAGGTTTTCCCATTGCTACATCTTCTATGACCAGTCCATTAGGAAAGGTTTTAACTCTGGCAGGCTTCTCCTTAGATTGCTTGACTACTTTATCAGTTTTGCTTATCTGCTTAGGTTCTGCATTTGCATCTTGCTCTATTTTTGAAACCTCTTCACTCTTCTCTGTCTTTCCTTTCTTTTTCTTCTTCTGTTTTTTTTTCATGTTCTCAGATGCCTCTCCATTTTCAATAGCATCGCTGGAAAGTCCCTCAAATTACATTCATAGTTTCATGTTAACATAGAATTTAATAATTGACAAAAAGCAGCAAATGGCAATTACATACACAAGCAGCTTACACAGTATGAACATCAATCAAGAGATCAAAGATAGAAAATAATATTGCAAAGGTGTACCTTTTTTGTTCTTGACCAGATTTGATGGCATCAACCTTCCTTTTTAAATTTTTTTCAGATTCAACATTATCTTTTGCTTCATCCTTCTTATTCTTTTTCTTCTCTTCCACAACTTTGGTGGTTGTGTTAGCTTCTAAATTTTCACTTTTGCGTGATGAAGAAACTGGAAAGCCATCTTCATCTTCACTCTCTAAAACTGAGGCACCATTATTTTCCTTGAGTACAATTTGTTGTTCAGCTTTTTTGTCATTGTCAGTATCAGCCAACTGCTTCTTCTTTTTTCCTTTTTTGGTTCCACCATTTTCAGTTGCAGTCTTTTCCTCATCCACTATCTCCTCGATAACAACTACAGTTACCAAAGGAAAATATCAGAATGATCAGAGAAAAATGCTTCATCCCCTCCATCACCACAATTAGAGAGGAAAGAAAAGACTACCAATAAAAGTAAGGTAAGCGGTCTAGAAAAGTGCCAAATGATACAACCCAAGAAATAATGGAAAGGGCGTAGGATCGAAACAGAGCAACATATGTGCATGCATTGATGAACAAAAGGTCTTGAAAGCAACTATACCTCCACTTTTTCGTACAGGCGAAGGTGGGAACATGGTATCATCATCGCCATCAAGAAATTCATCCTCTGAAACATCTTCAGAATCATAGTCACTGCTCTCTGAATCAGACTCAGCAATATCTTCCCCATATGAATCACTGAAGGATCCTCAATCAAGGAAATACTAAACTTATCATTGGGTAAAAGGAATTACACTAGGGATGCCAAAGTAGCTAATAACAGCAAGTATAAAATGCATTAAACTATTAATATACTTTGAAGGATACGAATCATATTCATTTTCAAGATTGCTCTGAACAAAGCCAGACAAGTGAATACTAGTTGGCCCAATGACAGAAAATTTCACATCATCCTCCTCGTCAAATTCAAGAGTCAACGAACAAGATTCTATCTTGTCAGGTAACAAAGTGCAGAGAAAGACTGGACTCTTATCTCCTACATTGACCTGAAGGATGCTCTTCTTCGTTGATGAACCAATTCCCAACGTGGCCTGTTTTTCGAAACATCAATACCACTTATAATCAATTCACATAGAAAAAGTTCAAGAAACTTAGGTTCAATTGAAACCAATTAAAACATCTAGCTCTATAGTTTTCAACTTGACATTCCGCATGTGATTATAACCATTCTGCCACATTCATATAAGATACCAAGATACAAAACTAGCTCCCGTAATATACATGATGTTGAAATCAAATACCAGACAGCTTTAGAAATATATTTTATAGTCACTAGTCACTACACATGTTTAGATCCTAGATTCCTAGAATATCATGAATTTATGACAATATTACAACATAAGGTGCAAGTATAATCTAAAGGACATACAGCAGTTAAAACACTACAATAACAATGGTGAAGTGCAATTCTTCTATTTTATCACTTCATGGTATAAATACCACGACAGGCGACAAGGCACCTATCGAGGGTCACTTACATATATCAGTCGATATGAAAGCAAATGTTTCTGGAATGCCACCAGTTAATCACTCCAATACTCAAGTATACATATCAGTAAAGACGACACAACTTAAGATGCTGCATCCGATCAGCGAGTAAGGCAAGGGCAATCACATATTCACACCCACTATATTAAATTCACATTCCATATTCTCCCAAAGAACATAAAATTTTAAGACAAGCGAATTTTACTTTTTTTTTTTTTCCCTCTTCTCCCTTCTTTTTGTCTACCCTTAATTACTACTCATATAACCCAGATATCAAATCAAAATTCACACAAAAATCAGATTTATTAATATTACAGATTAACGCATACTAAATGAAAGGGGAAAGAGGAAAAAAAAAAAAAAAAGAACCAAATGAGAAAAAACCAAAGATTAACGTGGCATAAAATCGAGAGTCATACCTGAGTTAAAACCAGCTTTCCATCCAAATCTTCAGCATTAAAAGTTAAGGGTTTGCCTGGTTTTACTTCAGCCCCTGAAATTCAAAGAACCCAGAAAATTGTAAGAATAAATTTCAGAACAAATTAATTAAAATCAACCATCTTTTTTCCAGATTAAACATATGATTCAGAAATAAGTACTAACCCCAGAAAGTCATTTTGTGTTGAATTTCTAGAGAAAATCGAAAATGAGGGAAGAAGAGAGACGGTTCACGGTTGGAAGTGCAATGCCTAAAACCCTAGTAGAACCTCTTGCTTAACTAGTGTTTTTTTATTGCAACCAAAAAAAAAAATATTGTAAAGTTAACGTTAACATTCTAGAATAATCCGGGTTTTTTTATGCATGCTTATCATCTTATGACATGAGCCTTACATTCAGTCCTTTGAAGATTTATGGCCCAGTATCATGGTCCGATCCGGCATTTGAAAAATCGTGTTCGTGGCCCAGTATTAAACTAGCCCAACATGAACAGTAGGAGCACAAGGGCAGTAGACTTGCTCGTCGAGTAAGTATGCAAGCTCCGACCTAATAGGAATGATTTGTGTAGTAGATTAGATCATTTGTGTCATAACAAGTTAGTGTTTTTGAGTTTATTTTTAAAGATAATCAAGTATATAAAATATAAGCTAACTCTTTAATCTTGATTATTTGGTTAGATTATGAGTTTTTTAATCAGTCTAAAATATCCCCCTCTACTATAATTATGCTATTATTATGGATGAAATGTTGGCCTGGTAGGGATTTGGTTGTGATCAAGTTATACAGTTTATGCCTTTATGGGTTGACATTGTTCTAACTTTAAGTTTTAGTAATTTTATTTTGCTGTTAGTTTAGGTTATTTGACCTTTAATTAAGCACTTTTAGGCTGATTGTTAAATATGTTTTATTACTTTACATATTGAATGTGGTAATGATATGCAAATAATGCAACACTTAAAGTATCGAAATATAGATAATCCAAGTGAAACGGCATTATATGACCCCGAGATATATCCCTAAAATTTCAAGACTTTTCGACACCAAGCACCGAAACCTCCAAAAATTCTCGAAAAGGCCTTCAATTTTGGAATTTTGGACTTTTTTCGCCCAAAAATAAAAATTGCCGAAATGTTTACCATGGTCCCTAATACCCTCTGAGAGTCCAATTGGTTGGGTGGAACCATTAAATTTGCCTTTAAACGACCAATTTACCGGTTTACAACTTACACAGATTTCATTAACTCAAACTTACCACGAACATTTATGACAACATATAATGATCATATATGGTTCCAAACAACATTATATGACCCCGAGATGTATCCCCTAAAATCTCAAGCCTTTTCGACATCGGACCCCGAAACCTCCAAAATTTCTCAAAAAGCATGCATGGATATTAGCTTTTAATTTTGGAAATTTTTGACTTTTTTTCGCCTGAAATAAAAATTGCCAAAATGTTTACCATGGTCCTTAATACCCTCTGGGAGTACAATTGGGTGGGTGGAACCATCCAACTTGCCTTTAAACGACCAATTTACCAGTTTACAACTTGCACCGATTCGATTTAATTAACTCAAGCCTACCACGAACATTTATGACAACATATAATGATCATATATGGTTCCAAACGGCATTATATGACCCCGAGATGCATCCCCTAAAATCTCAAGCCTTTTCGACAACGGGCACCGAAACCTCCAAAATTTCTCAAAAAGCGTGGATATTAGCCTTCAATTTTGGAATTTTTTTACTTTTTTCGCCCAGAAATAAAAATTTCCGAATTTTTTACCATGGCCACTAATACCCTCCGGGAGTCCAATTGGGTGGGTGTAACTATCCAACTTACCTTTAAACGGTCAATTTACAGATTTACAACTTGCACCGATTCGATTTAATTAACTCAAGCCTACCACGAACATTTATGACAACAAATTATGATCAAATAAGGTTCCAAACGACATTATATGACTTCGAGATATATTCCCTAGAATTTCAAGACTTTTAGACACCAGGCCCTAGACGACTCCAAAATTTCTCAAAAGGCGTGGATATTTGCCTTCAATTTTTTAATTTTTGCCTTTTTTCATGCAGAAATAAAAATTGTGCATCGAAATGTTTACCATGGTCCCTAATACCCTCCCGGATTCCAATTGGGTAGGTGAAACCATCCAATTTGCCTTGAGACGACCAATTTACCGATTTATAACTTACACCGATTTTATTAATTCAGGCATATCACGAACATTTAAAACAACATATAATGATCATATATGGTTCAAAACGGCATTATATGACCCCGAGATGTATCCCCTATAATCTTAAGGCTTTTTGATAACGGGCTCCAAAACCTCCAAAAATTTTCAAAAAATCCGGAAATAAAAATTGTTGAAATGTTTACCATAGTCCCTAATACCCTTCGAGAGTCCCATTGGGTGGGTGAAACCATCCAGTTTGCCTTTAAACGAAAAAATTACCGATTTTACAATTTGCACCGATTTCATTAACTCAAGCCTACCACAAACATTTATGACAACAAATTATGATCATATATGGTTAACCAGCATTATATGACACCAAGATGTAATCCCTGAATTTCAAGACTTTTCGACACCGAGCCCCTAAACCTTCAAATTTTCGCAAAATGTGTAGATATTAGTCTTCAATTTAAGAATTTTTTGACTTTTTTTCGGCAGTAAATTAAAATTGTCGAAATGTTTACCATGCTCCCTAATACCCTCCGGGAGTCTAATTAGGTGGGTGTAACCATCCAATTTACCTTTAAATGGAGAATTGAACGGTTTTATAACTTGCACCGATTTCATTAACTTAAGCCTACCATGAACATTTATGACAACATATAATGATCATTTATGGTTTTAAAATAGTATTATGTGACTGCGAGATGTATCCCCTAAAATCTCAAAGCTTTTCGACATCGGGCCGCGAAACCTCAAAATTTTCTCAAAAAGTGTGAATATTAACCTTCAATTTTGGAATTTTTTGAATTTTTTTGGCCTAAAATAATAATTGCCGAAATGTTTACCATGGTCCCTAATACCCTCCAGTAATCCAATTGGGTGGGTGGAACCATCCAATTTGCATTTAAACAGTCAATTTATCGGTTTACAACTTACAACGATTTCATTAAATCAAGGCTACCACGAACATTTATGACAACAAATAATAATCATATATGGTTCCAAACGACATTATATGACCCCGAGATGTATTCCCTAAAATCTTAAGTATTTTCGACATTGGGTCCCAAAACCTCTAAAAAAATTCAAAAAACGTGGATATTAGTCTTCAATTCTGGATTTTTTTTTAATTGGAAATAAAAATTGATGAAATGTTTACCATGGTCCTTATTATCCTGTGGGAGTCCAATTGGTTGGGTGGAATTATCCAATTTGCCTTTAAACAACCAATTTACCGATTTACAACTTACACCGATTCATTAACTCAAGCGTACCACAAACATTTATGACGACAAATAATGATTACATATGGTTTCAGACGACTTTATATGATCCCGAGATGTATTCCCTAGAATTTCAAGACTTTTTGACACCGAGCTATGAAGACTCCAAAATTTCTCAAATAGGTGGATAATAGCCTTCAGTTTAGGAATTTTTTGACTTTGTTTTTTCGCCCGAAAATAAAAATTACCGAAATGTTTACCATGGTCCCTAATATCCTCCGGGAGTCCAATTGGGTGGGTGTAACCATCCAATTTGCCTTTAAACGTCCAATTTACCGGTTTACAACTTGTACCGATTTCATTAAATCAAACATACCACAAACATTTATGACATCATATAATGATCATATATGGTTCCAAACGGCGTTATATGACCCCGAGATGTATCCCCTACAATTTCAAGGCTTTTCGGCACCAGGCCTCGAAACCTCCAAAATTTCTAAAAAAGCATGGATCTTAGCCTTCAATTTTGGATTTTTTTGAATTTTTTTCCCGCGGATATAAAATTTTGCCGAAATGTTTACCATGGTTCCTAATACCCTCTGGGGGTCCAATTGGGTGGGTGTAAGCCGTGTAACCATCCAATTTTCCTTTAAACGACCAATTTACCCCGATTTAATAATTGTCTCGATTTCATTAAATCAAGCCTACCACAAACAGTACATTTATGAAAACATATAATGATCAAATATGGTTCCAAACGAAATTATATGGCCCCGAGATGTATCCCCTAAAATCTCAAGTCTTTTTGACACCGGGCCTTGAAACCTACAAAATTTCTGAAAAAGCTTGGATAACTCGACCTGATTGTAACCTGCAAATTATTGACTTGAATATAACCCGACTTGAATCTGAGAATGACCCAACCTGATTATAACCCACAAATTATTGACTTGAACCAAACCCGACTTGAACCCGTGCATGACCCGACTTGTAAATGACCCAACCTGATTCTAACCCGCAAATTATTGACTTGAACTTAACCCGACATAAAGCCGAGAATGACCCGACCTGATTCTAACCCGCAAATTATTGACTTGAACCGAACCCGACTCGAACCCGAGAATTACTCTTACCCGTTTTAACCCGAATTAAACCCGACTTATTGTTCACCCGACATGTTTGTAACCCAACATGTTATTAACCCGACCAAAACCCGATAAGAAGTATGACCCGATGTGACTCGACTCAAGCATGACCCAACTCAAACCGGACCTGCATAGGTTATAGAATTAATCCGAATTGACTAAACCCGCGAGTTGGCCCGACCCACTCTTACCTGACCTAAATCCGACCCATTTACCCGAATTGACAGCTCTAAATGCAACTCTTGATTAGTTAATGGGATCATGGGAGTTGTATACTCCATGTTTGTGTTCAAGTCGTTCGGAAATATATTTATTCTAGTTAATCATGTAGGAACAACTAAGTATTTAATGTATGATTAGTTATATAATATTGGGGGAAAAAAAATTTATTTAGTCGTCTCAAATCAATTACAGTAGATTCTAATATTTGAAAAGGATGAATTGATTGTGATTTAAGGTGATTAAGTCTGTTGTATATAATTCTTAACAAAAAAAGAAAAAAAATAAAATAAGATATGTGTGCCTTCAAGGCGGGTTGCAAACTCATCACGATTACGCATGCCAAAACATTAGCGCCCATATTATAAATGCATGGATAAGATTATATCAATCCAATTGATACAATTTTTTACATGAAATTCAACCCAATTGTACACAAAAATTAGTTTTGAATGTCTAATCTTATCCAACTACGGACTAAAATAAAGAATAACAACTTTAGTTAGTTGCATAAATTAATTACATAATTTACGTACAAAAATGCAAGCTGTCAAAACTCTATCAAGGGTGAGAAATACTTCGACGGCTTAGAGCTCATGACAGGCACAATCATTTTAATTTGGAGGCTCCTTATTTCTTTCGGCTTTGCCCCTGATTTTAATTATATTGCCTTATTGTTTATATCTATGAGTATGACATTGGAGTAATATAGTTACCATGTGATATACTTATGCTTTTAAGATAAAAAAAAATAGGTTATCTTTTCTTTTATAGATGTAGTCTAGTGATGAGGTTACATCTATTTAAAGATAAGCAACTTATTATTTTTTATTTTTTTTGGAGAAAGATTTGATAGTTTAAACATAATATCAACATAGATTAAAACACATATTTGAATGTGAAAAAAGAATGGTTGTTCTAAGTTATGTCCCTCAAGTAATCAAGTTTCTAAGGTGTGGAAAAGGCTTTTCAAAATTTTAAGCCATGTCCCTCAACTCAGTGTTATTAGTAATTAAATGTATGTACGATTCTCACTCTTTGGATGTTTACAAGTTAATTGAGGTTGGTGTTTCAATTCGTGACTTGAGTTTCGGTGGTTAGGATTGTGGTAATTAGGGTTTTTTTTTTCTCTCTCCTCTCCTTGCCTTTTCTTTTCTTTATTTAAAATTTAAAGCTAACCTTAGTTAATTTATAACGTCCAAGGAGGGTACAATTAATTAATGATAGTGAATAAAAGGGCATAGCTTACAAAATCGAAAAGATATGGACATACCTTAGAAACTCAACTTACTGATTAAGGGGCATAGTTTAGAAAAACCCTAAAAAAAAAAAGTATGATATTTCATTTAAACAAAATATCAACATAGATTAAACAAATATTTGAACATTAAAAAAAAAAGTATGGTATGAAGTAATAAATAAGTTACATAAGATGATAATCTTGTGTTGATTTGCTTCATGATACATATATGCGTTGCAGTAGAATAAAACATACATATATGTGTTGATTTGCTTCATCATACATACAGTATATGCGTTGATTTGCTTCATCATACATATATGCGTTGCAGTAGAATAAAACAATTTAATCGTCTAATGGCTTCTACTTTATATTAATATATGAGTAATATATCAATTGAAGTGATGATAAGTATCAAGATTTGAAAATTAACCTAAGTCATCTCTATTTCGATCCGTGCATGTCATATTCAATTTATCTAGTTTGGATCTACACTTCTGTATGTAATAGGAGTATGTATTTTTAGAGAGAATTCAAGTTAATCTCTGAGATTGACATGAAAAGTTAATCTCCTCTCACAATATATTGTTTTACTTTTATTTTTAAAATAATAAAAGTGAAATAGTAAAGTGGCACGAAAACTAATGCATAAAATTGTGAGAGGAGATTAACTTGGAGTGTTAATCTCGGAGATTAACTTGAGCTCCCTCGTATTTTTATATTTATTATTATTTTTTTTAAGTAAAAAAGACACTAGAATTGTTTAGTATTACTTGTACTTGAGCAGTGAGGTCATTGACCCAACCACCCAACCTCTTACCATGTATTATAAATTTATAACACAAGACTTTTTTTACATAACTATTTAACATTGACCTAATCAACCACCTTAATTTTCATGCTTTACTAGTAAAATTGAAATAAAATAGCAGAGGAATAACTGCATTAAAAACTACTCGTAGTACAAGGTACCAAAAAACCATTAAAAGTATTTTTTTTTAAAATAAAAAATAGGGCAAAATTTACCATATGAAATTTCTTGTAAAATCCCATAGAATTTGCTCAGAAATTACACAACAACATACCCTTGGACAGAAAGCAACATCTTCAAAACTTTACCAAAAATGCTTTAAAATAACTTAAACAATTGAATAATTCAAAGGTGTTAGTTGTCTGTTGCAAAGCTTTCACATCACACTTTCATTATTATCTAATTGTTACCCAACTAAAGATTCCACTCCACACTTTCTTGTAAACTTACACTTTTGTATTTCCATTCTCCCTCTATATATACACTCCCTTAACCTTCCAATTTTGCCAAATTCAAACAAAACTTTACTTTGTTTTAATAAATTTATTATCCTAAGCTTTTCTATAACAACTTTGTACCTTGTAGTTGGTTCATCTTATTTATTTCGAAAAAACCGCCTTTTTATTGAGTTAGGAAAATCTTAATTACTCCTTTATACACCGAAATTTTTTATTTAATAAATTGGTGTGAGATTGAAATAAGAAGTTTGATCCTTGAGAGTGTTTTATCATTATTCGCACAAAATGTTGTACGACTTGTACACAACGGTTGAGTTGATAGCACAAGCTTCTTCAAATTATCATATTTTGTTCTGTTTTTGTAATTTGATCATAATTTGCCTTGTTTATGGGAGTTCAAAATCGAGCTCGAGCTCCTGGGAATTTGAGTCGAGATATGTATCCTTGAGTTCTTCTGGGGATGTCAAATCGGCTAACACTACTACTACATTCGTAAAGGATAATAATATTGACAACAAGCATTCGAATCAAGATACTAAGGATGAAGAAGGAGAAACGGCTGCTGAAGTAGTTGAAGAAGAATCGCGGTATGTAGATGATAAGACCAGTGAAGTCGAAATGATTAACGAAGATGAAGAAGATGAACTTAGAATGAAGATTGAAGAGTTTATAAAAAAGATGAAAGGTCAACTAAGTATGGAGAGATCATAAGAAGATTAGGACATAATTCTATGTATATAAAATTAGGAGTACAATAATTCCAGAGTAATACTCCTATATTGTTGTATGAGTGTTATTATTTAGAAAATTTTGAGGCAAAAGTTGATGCATTAGCTTAGGTTGGTTGTATGATTAAGATTAAGATTAAGATTACGATTACGATTATGATTATGATTATGGTGTATACTGGGTAACTTCCTAGATTGGAAAAAAGTTTTTATGTACTGTATCAAAAAATTTAATTTTTGATTACCTACTCTGTTCTTCCATAGGAACAAACGTGACATTTATGGTACTAAGACTTTCAAATCTTATAATGTCGGTGTTAATATAAGAAATATCTTACCATTTGGGATCAAGTCTTGATCAACTTTTACGAGTCGTTATCGAGGAGATAGGGTGATTGTAACATGGTTTGATTTTGATCCGACTAGGGTTGGAACATGTTTTGGCTTAGGAGAACTTTAGTAACTTGAGAGTTTAAAAACGAGATAAATCCTAACAACGAAAAAAACTGTACGTTACTAATAATAGGGCGAAACCATACTAGGTCATTAATTATGAAACTCGAGCAAAATTGTTAGTTCTAATGAACAAAAGAGTGAAATGAGATACTTGAGTATTTACAATCAACTAACTCAACAATTGTCTAAATTAATCATAAAGTTATAGGTAAATACATAGATTGATAATCACTACATTCACTAGTAAGTGTTCACTTAAACGAGAGCTTATACACATGCAATCATTGTATGTGGTCCCTACATACAATACCATTAGAAATTTGACACATTATAAAAAAGGGAAGAAAACTAAGAGTCAAATATACATTAAATTCAAATGGAACTTGGACCCATAATTTTAGCCAACAAAAACATGACAAATTATGGTTGTATGTAGGGACCACATATAACAATTGTATGTGTAGCCTTTACCTCACTTAAACTATTCAATATGTATAAGAGATTTCCTGTTCATGACAATCATGAGGTACATAGTTTCATGGATTGCCTTATAATTAAGTCTTTACAACATGGTGGTTTAACCTTAAAATCATTATTACGTTTTTGCATATTTGGTGAAGTGGAGCAAAATTTGGTACAGTATAAAAGAAGAAATAGGACTAAGCAAATTTAAGTCTAAAATATATTCTAGTTTCAAATACCTAATTATAAGTAGAAAATAAGCAAAACTTGGAATTTTTCATTCGAAAAATTTGCAATTTATGTCAATATGTAAAAAGTAAAAGCACCCAACAAACACATGGATAGTTTACCAATTAAATTTGAGCAAAAAAAAAAAAAAAAAAAAAAAAAAAAAAAAAAAAAAAAAAAAAACTCAATAATGATTGAATGGTTGGTATATGGCTACTTCTATATGTATATGTAGTTGGCAAACAGGCAAAGTTAGGTGACAAGAAAAATTATTGAGCCTTATTTATTTAGCCTTTGCTCAAACTTTTCTAAGAGTCCACCTATTCATAATTATGCAAGTCAATGTCAATGGTTGTTTTATTTATTTTTTCCATTTTATTCCATTTAGTTTAAAATGGAAAATGATAAAGAAAAAAAAAAGGGTTAAATCATAAAAAGTTTTAAATTTGAATGTTTTCGGCTTTAGGCAATGTAACAATTGTGACTTAACATATAAAATGTTTGATGGTAAACCTATAATTTTTAATTAAGGTGCATGTTGACATATAGTTATCAAGTTTCTTATTTAAAAACTTATTAAATAACAGTTCTTATATATTATGGAAATCCATATAATATTGCTATAACTTTAATAGAACTTGATGTGCATGTATTATTATGGTCGTGGAGCTTAATGATTGAGTAAAATGACATCATAATTCATAAATTATATTAATGCTTATACTGTTATACAGTAAGTTGACTTTTGTTATCTAAATCCTCCCTTTAGACAGCATATCTAATTATTTTGTCTTTATTATTTCTATTTCTTTGTGAAGTTGCAAGTTGTCGGGGCATACTAGTCTGTAAAATTATTGAATTTTAGTTTTATATGTAATCGCACCACAATAATTTAACACAGTGACACGTGAGCATAATGACATTTTGAAAATATCAACATAATAGATGCACGATACGAGCGTATCACGACCCATATGCCTAATCCATCTCTACCCTGAAATATATGTTGAGGCCGATTATAATATACGAGTACTAAACAAAGTTATGACACTTATGAGGTAGCTTCATCAATTTTAGAGTAAAAGATTGTATAGTTAAGACAAAGTAAGTACTCCATAAAGACTATTTAAGTTTATTAGATTTACCGCATCAAAATACACTTAAATTAAGCTAAAGTTTATGATAAGTTCTAACAACAGCCCTTAAAAAGTTAAACTACATCCTAATCAAGATTATCTAGATTTTCCAATTGTATACACAAGTATTACACACTTAACTATACATGTTGACTTGGTCAGTCTTCACATAATGCTGTTATTACAGTTGTTGAACATTCAAAAAAAAAAAAAAAAAAAGAAAAAGAAAAGAAAAAAAAAACTATCCATGTAGACCAGCACTTGGGACATAAAGACTTGTTGACTTGGTGTTGCCATGTGGACTTTTAATTCTAATATACTATATTCTTCCAAAAAATAAATAAATGTGACAAGGAATATCCAAACCCAAGTACATTCATTCAATCATTAAACAAATTTAATACACATGTAGCTTTCACACCATACTTTCTCCTTTTTCCTTAGCTTTCTCAACAATGAGCTTCCTCAACACACTTCTTATTTCTCACCCATTACATATACAATGCCTCATTTTTGTTATTCTTTCTACTTCAACAAAACACAACACTTCTCTTACCCACACTCACTCTCACTATCCTCTTTTCGCTCAGTGTGTGTGCGCGCGTGTGCGTGTGTCTAGCTCGAACTTGTTATTTTAGTTTCTTATCATAAAAATGTTAGGTTCCACAATTGAATTGGTAGCTCAAGCTACTTCAAACTTTCATTTTATTTTCTGTTTTTGCAATATTATCATAGTTTTTCTTCTCATTGATCGCTCAAAAAGCGACATGAATCACACTCCAAGCAGCATTGATGCTTTTCAGATTGTTTTAGATCAAAATACATCAAGAAATGACTATGAGAATGATGCCAAAGTAGTAGAGGATGATTATATGAAAGAAGGATCAGCCTCTGAAGTACAAACAGAAGCACCGAAACATGTAGATGATGACCCTCAAGTAGCAGCAGCAGCAGCCTCTGAAGCGCAAACAAAAGCAGCGAAACATGTAGATAATGACACTCAAGAAGAACAAGAACAAGAAGAACTAGAACAAGAAGAAGTGGCAGCTGATGATCATGAGCTAAATGCACGTATTGAGGACTTCATTAACAAGATTCACAGAAATTGGCGGGCAGAGAGGCTGAGAGTAAAAATTTACGAGCAAGGATGCTAGAAAGGACATTCAGTTATCATTCCAGACGGAAATTCAACCCCGAGTCTTGAGTACCACCACCCAACGTAACTATACCACTTAGGCTACTACACAGCAAACATTACGAAACAAGGATTAAGAGTAATTAAACTAGTTAACACATGAATCAGCCACTATCAGGTAGTTTAGTTGTCAAATTTTATGCTACAATAAGTTAAAATAAAGGAACAGAAGAATGTTGACCTTATGTCCTACAAAATGATCAGTATAATTGCTTTTTCTTTTGGGTGGGGGATTGATATTGAAATGAAGGGATTAAAGAAATAGATGCCTTGGAAGCTTTTCTGAAAGTTCCAAGCAGTTTGGAAGGCGGAACGTGTCATGTTTCTCCAATTCAAATTTCAGCATAAAGTCTTGGTATGAAAGCATAATTTTAATTCAAAAGTTGAACAGAAGAATGAGGAATACATGTCATACATCTGTAGTTTCTAAAGAAACCCAAGAAGAGGGACAAAACACCCAGATAATTAACAGCGCCATCAGCTGCACTAACTAAACTAAAAATCCTGACTACTCCTAATAAACCGGCAAATCCTGTGTTAAAAATCCGAAGCTAATGTGAAGCTAAAAACCTAATTGTAACGATACATACTGTGATTTCCTGAGTGAGAAGAGCAGAGCCTAGGTAAATCTGTGGACCACTAAAATTTGAAAATACAAATACAGATATGAGAAAAACTAATGTCAGATTATCAGCCAGAAATCTCCAGATTTGAAGGACTGTCGTCATCACCGAAATCATCAGAACCCCCTTCAGGGGTTGATTCGTTAATGTCAGCTTCAAGGTCCATCGGGTCCATTTGCATAGAGTTCATAGAAGGCAAATTGTCGGTATGGAATGAGGGGGGTGGGGATGTGAAGTTTACCTTCTGTCCCCCGTAACCTCCTTCAGGGACTTGGTTGTTGATGATAGCTGGAATGGCAGCGGTGGTTGCGGGTTCAGCTCTCTGCTTCTTGGGCTTGTGCTCTTGATGATGGCCCGGTAAGAAACTCCCTAGCACCACCTGATAATTCATTCAGTTGTGACAATTAGCATAAGCCACAGTAAAACATTGGAGTTTATAAGGACAGTGAACAGGTTTGCTGTATTGAGTATAAAATGATGCATAGGCTGGCAACATTACTTTACCATTTAAGCAAGAAAGGGAAAATAGTTTATTATTATCTTACCTGAACGGGGCTAGCTGCAACGAGAAGACCAGCAAGTCCACCACCTAAGACTCGCCCATCAGGACCTGCTAGTGAGACACTCATGCCTCCTGATCTGCTCTTCATTATTCCGTTGTCAGTAGGCATAAATGATCCAGACAAGGAAAGTATCTCAAAACGACCCTACAGGATCCATAAAGAACTAGATTAAAAACTGTATAATCAGACATATTGAAAGCGGCGAGAAAACCCAAGTACTGAACACAATGAGGATCAAAATATGACAAGCTCACAGTCACAAGATATCACTCTTTAATAGACTTGTGCATTTTGTCAGTCAATGCACAGGCTCCTAAATTTTGAAAAGTGCATATCTATGGATTTTTAAAAAGTGCAAGCTAGATCAGATCCAAGATCGAAACATCTCAAAGAAGCAAACAGGTCTATCATATACATGTATGCAATTGCACTTATATTGAGAATGACACACCAGATGTCCACAATGTCACCGTAATTTGCTAAACAATAATGAATGGAAACTGCCTTATTATACCAAAGAGCTCCTAGTATGTCCATTCACCCCCCCCCCCCCAACTCCTCCTTCCCATCCTTCCTAGAAAAGAAAATCATCCATCACAGAAGTTGTTCATGATTAGCTTCACCCGCATTAAAAAAAACCCTCATTTACAGTTCACAGTATTGTACCAAAGAGCTTATGAATTTTCTAGAGGTCGGATTAAGCCACCACTAGATAATGCAACTTCACTTTCCGTTCCCTTTTCCATCCCCCCAATAGAAGTCTTCCTACCAACAATTAAGGAACCTCATCATAAGGAGAAGAAGGCATACTTCATATGTTAAAGTGCCACCAGAAGAATTAGGTTGACGAAGGGTGACATTTGAGATTGAACCGCTTGCAGAAAGAACGCATATAGCACGGGATTCCTGCTGAGAAAACGATAGAACCTTCATCGCGACATCCTGATGGCAGGAAAAGAACAGAATCAGTACATGATCAGAGACAAGTGTTTGTTCATTCGAGTAGGCTGAATATACATGTAAGCATGGAAAATATAAGACCGAGTAATATATACTATCTTGGGAACTTTAGCAATATATAGAATATCCCCAGATAAGCATGTTTCAAAAACTATATAGAGTAAAACATACAATATGTGGAATTTGGAGGTTTTGGGAATGTGGGGTGTTACTCGTGTTAGTCACATTATCTTCATAGAAAGAACACTTTTTTGGTCATTATCAAGATTATCTGTCAGTGATTTTGCAATTCTCAACTGAAGAATGGGTGTAAAAGTAAAACAATACAACCAATCCAGGGCACTTCAAAATAGAGATATTCATTTCAGCAGCATAACAATGAATGTGTTGTATTGCAATTATGTAAACATCAGGAAAACAGTTTTGAGAATTACGTATCCTAGACTAGATCCAGCAGAGACAAGTTTCTTTAAGCTTTGGTTGCAGTCAGTATACTGAAATAGCTGAAGATCTTTCGATGAACAGCTATCAGTAAAATTTAGGGAATATTGATTAACAAGAATATTTGACTGAAGATATTAATACATACCTCCCCAGCATTTACAGTGATCACATGAGGTGTGAAATTTGCACCAACGAAATACGCAAGTCGATCACCTGAATAGCTTCATATATTAGCAATCGTCAACCAATATCAGATAAAATTTATTCACAGGAACAAATTAAACTATAAGCTTAAGGCAGATAGGATACAAAATACAAAGTAGAAGCACATGAAATTTAGGCACAATATACATGGCAGGGAAAGGAGTCAGCATCTGTCAATTTCCAGCAATAGCATATTCTTAGAACTCTCCAGTTAAGTTCCTCTAATGACATCTCAGCAAGGAGGCATAGTAAGGATGCTAATGAGACTCATTGACCACATCAAACATCATATCTTTGACATCATTCCAAGATATATCTATAATGTATATCTTTAAGAGATATGTGAAGTCTGTAAGAATTCACGAGTATTAGGAAGCAAGCAGGTGGGTCAGAGTTAGATAAATAACTTCATTGGATAAGATTACCTTGGCTCCAGATTATTTCAGCCGTAATAAAAGCATAGTCAATTCTTGAATCCATATTATATTTGAATTGAATAAGAACTTAGCACCCTGTCTACTAAGTGGTTAGGGATAAGGCTGCACAAATCTAGGCCCTGAAATCTTGTCAGTGGAAGGGCCAAAGGTTCCATACATGGAGCTCGCCTATTAATTTAGCCAAATCCACTAGTATATCTTCAACATGTCTACCAGATTGAATTATGATCAGGAATTTTGTTTCACTATGGGGATCATTAAAATAAAAAAGACTAAGGATCAAACTAACACAATACAGTAGGTAAAAACATAATTAAATGGCAATTGCAGAAAGATGACAACATATAACAACAACATCAATAGCATATATCAGATTTAATACTTCTTTCAAATCAATTTTCGCAGTAGTGGCAGCAATGCAATTTCCTCTTCAAATAATAATGTTTTTTTTTAAAGGGCAACTTGCCTTCATATAGCTCTATTTAAAATTTATTAGCTAATACTCCGTATAATTAAACCATTCTTGATGATGTAATAAAAGTATCACGAATGAGACTTGACTACATAACTTTTCAAATTAACCAGTACTAGCTTTAGGCAGACTTAGATTTATAATGATTTCAGACCCAAATACATTTTAAACCCCAAAAATATTCAGCTACATATCATATTATCAGAGCACATTACAATCAATGCATATCATAGTGCCATACTGCAATTAGGAGAGCATTAGAAAGAACCAAACACCTCATACTGCTGCTATCTTATGCCAGATGATCTTGAACAAATATCAAGTACCTTGATTCCATATATGGACACAACCAAATTAAACATTGTAATTTATCGCCCTATTCGAACAATATCATATGGCATTCACACATCTTGTAAAATTAACCAGCACATCAGTACATGAATTTGATAAGGTTGTCAATTTCATTCATATGAAGCAACTTCAGTTATAACTTTGAAATGATCCATTCGGGGCCCAAGACAGAGCAAGAAAGGAATGTCCATCCCACATATTACTACTAAACATCAACTGAAATATGCAGAAAAAACTACAAATTGCAGTAAAAATAAAACCAATTGCAGTACCATAAAAACATAACCTATATATACATTTCTTTAAGTGAGGTGCAAAAGTACCTAAACTCTCAAACTCCACTTTTTGTGCCTTCTTAATTGACTGTAAAGGCCTTGCCCTAGGTTGTTTCCAACCTGAAAAATCTCCACTCAGAGGAATTGAAGCCGAAATCGGCATTGGTGACAATGCGGCTGCAGCAGCCCCATCAGAGCCATACTTCCTAGGCCTACCTCTCTTCTTCCTGGAATCGGAAGAAGGCGGTACTCCTGCCAAATTAACAGGTGAAGAGGCAGCTGCCATATTTGGAGCTCCTGGTTGGCTCAAAGGGTTTTCACCCCTTGCTGCCAAACAGAAACCCTGACTCCCTTCATCACCTTTCACTGCTACCCCAGAACTACTTATTTCCTCTTTACTAGCCTCCATGCATTAAAGGTTCAAACTTTCAACACAATAAACCCTTTCAGACAGCCTAAAACCCTAAGATTTTACAAATTACAATAAACCCAGAAAAATTTACTAAACTACCTTAAAAAAATTGTAGAAAATCATATATTGAACTGAAAAGTTGCATTTACAGCCAACCAATATGAAAAATGATCAAATACCCAAAAACCAGAATCCTTTGAAAAAGCCCAAAAACAGGTCAATCAAGAACAAAACAAAATCAAAAAATTTCAACTCACTTACTGGCAATAATTTTTTTATGAAAAATTAAAACTGGAAATTTCATAAAACACCCACAAATTTAAATAAAAAACCTAAAGATCTTTTCTTTCAATCTAAAAATCAGAATTTTTTTTCTAAATTATATTCACCATTTTAACAAAATATAGAAAAATAATAACAAAATTAGTACTGTAAATTTTTTTTAGCTTAACTTAAAAGAAAATACATACCCTCAACCTATTCCTTAGTGTCTGAAAACCACCAACTAGTTTTATTTTCTGGAAACTGGGTTTTTGCAGAAAAAGAGAAGAAAAAGGAGCAAAAATAAAAAAATTCTACAAATTGAAAAAATAAAATATTAACAAATACAGAAGATAATAAAAAAATTTGAAACTTTAATTAAATATTAGACCCGTCTAAATTACAAAATACGAAGAATTAATTATGGTTAAGAAAATGGTTCAAGTCCGTCTAGGGAATTTAATAAAGCAGGTATGAGTATACCAAAAAGTTGTAAAATTTTCAAAATTAATTAAAAGAAAAAAATAGGAAATATAATAAAAACAATTTCCTTTTATGTTTTTTCATTATTTAAAAAAAGGGTGCAAAATAATAAATTAAAGGCTGTAAAGTTAAGGTAAGAGAGAGCATGCCAATTTTCCAAACTACTACTACTAGCCTTGTTGCTTTGTCTTTTGGGGGTTAAAATTAAAAATTTAAACGGTTGATCATTACAATAATAAATAAAATATTACCCTTATTTTGAATCATAATTTACCGTTAATTGCCACTTTGAAAATATCCATTTGAATCTTCATCATGTTCAAATGTTCAATCTTTGCGGCTAGGGCTTTCTTGTACAGTTGTACTATGCCTTTGGACTAGTTTAAGGATCTATCTTGATCACCACACCCAAAAATAAAAAAAATAAAAAAAAAAAAAAATTGAGAAATTTTGAGCATTTATCTTTTTTGTCCCCCTCTTAATTATAATGGGTAAAAAGATATTTGATGACAAGTTTTTTTTGTTTTTTTTTCCCTAGCTTTGTAAAAGTTTTGCAATAATTGCATTTTTAGGGGTTTTGTTTTCATTTTGTACCTTGCTAAATTTTCATTGAGAATTTTTACATTACAAATGTGACAAGTGATAAATGCAGATAATAAGGACTTGTTAGTACAGTAAATTTTTTTGTTGTTTTTTGGACAAATGTTATGAGAATTTCTTTGCTTCATAAAAAGCATGAAAATTTCACATTAATCACAAACAACCAATTTTTGCCAAAAAAAAAAATGTGAATAAATTTTTTATTATAAAATAAAAATATTGTATACATGGATTGTTTCGCATAAATCATGCACAATAGTTATTTTCATTCCTGCTACATTAATATATTCATTTGAATGTCAAAATAATTTTACAAAAATACTCAAAATGCAATTATACTACCTCCCAATAATAATGTTGTGGGAAAGTCAAGTAGAATTTGAAAGTAATTATGTCCAAAAAAATTTATATAAAAAACATTATTCATGGCAAAGATGTTCCAAGAAATTTCCTAAAACAATAATCCATGATCTAGGCCACTCAATCAAACAATATCTTTCAGTAATATTTGTTTAATCTGCCTTTTAAGGAGTGTCATAATCATTAATTAGTGTTCATCACTTAGAAAAACACTAATTTATTTTCATTTTATCTAAGGTGACATCATTTTATGGAGTAAAGTATACGCCAAACAAAGCAAATAGTGAAAAATTACCAATAAAGTATAAGCCATGTGATGACCACCTACCTATTTGGTGGAGTTTCCAATTAATCCTCCTAATATTACAAAAATGTCTAAGGTAAAAACTAAAATAAAAAATAACAAAGACAATAAATCTCCAAGGTAAAACCGAATTTTTTTTTTTTAATAATAATAAGAAGAGGGAGAAACCCCCCATCAGTGGTCAAAGTAACATGACAAAGATTATGAATGGTCAAAGGAGAACGTAATTATTTCCAATTGAATAAAGAAATATGAGTATTTCACAAGCATACAATTGACAAGTTCAAGCAACAAAATAAAAATTAAGAATGCAGCACTGTGTAGTAATATACAAGTGTAGAAAGATGAAGAAGCCAATAGAAATAATTTGGCTCATCCATCAACTAAAGTAACTATGTACTCCGCCCAATCAAGAATTTATAGTCACATTCATAGTGTAATTTGAACAACGTGACCACAAAACCCTGCCGAATATTATGTTTTCAGAAAAAGGATTCCTCTAATATTCTAACTTCCAAGGTTTTTCTATAGCCTAACACAGTCACACTTGTATCACTCTTTTAAGATGAGTATTAGGCAATACAAAACCTGCTCTTCTTTCCTCAAATGAATATTCAACCTCTTCATCAGTTTCTTCCACTAATTTATCACCATCATGAAAATCAGGTTGATGAAGAGGCGCAGGTGTCATAGATGTGTGCATTGGAGCTGAAGCTGTTGAAGGTGTTGCAGGTTCAGGAATATGCATTTTTGGTGTCCAGTTTTCTTCATCTTCAGCAGGAATATTCTTTGAGGGTGTAGTAAATATTTGTTGGGATGTCTCTTTCTGGAAGGCTGTTTGCTGTTGCATGGCATTGTTATCATCATCATAGAAATCTTCATGTGCTCTTGTTGATGCCGTGGAAGAAATGGGAGAGAAAGGTCTTCGTACCACAGCTGGTTCTGTTTCACGACCGTTGAACGTGAAGTTCTTGTCCAAAACTCTTTGCACTACAATAGCAAAGCAATATCATAAGTGGGATTAACTTGCTGCGTAGGAATCCTCTCTCATCTTATGTTACATAATCTCCGATCAACACTCATCATCCATATTTACAAATAGCATTAGAGTATTATTAAAGTTGATGACATGTCATATAATTAGGAGGTGGTTAGATATAAGTTAAGATGTAAAAACAGGACATGATCCCAACCTGAAGTTGCTGGCTCAACAGAAAAATGTAAAGTGTAACCAAAAAAGTTAATCTAGGATTAACTCCATGGTTTTTTTTCCCCAATAATAAAAGGACAATTCTGTACTTTTTTGCACTATATGAGTGCATACCACAGGAACTGCCATAATACACGAGTGCATACCACAGGAACTGAAAAGGCACACCATCAGATGCAAGTGCCAAACTTTCTGCCTCAGAAATATGGCAGTGTCCAAAAAACTTACCAGTTTGTGATCCCATGTTGTCATCTCTCTTAGAAGGGCGCAAATTTGGTGTTCCTCTGGCTGAATGAGATGAGTCAGGGCGAGGTGTTTGAATTGCATTTCCTCCAACAGAAACCCTTCTACCGTTTCCTCCTCCCGCAGATACTCTAGAACTTTTCTTTGCAGACTTCATTGGGCTAGGTTTAGAGCCAAAAAGTACCTCTTGTTCTGCCATCAGTTGTCCTTGAAGTTTCTTTTGTTCCTAAAGTTAGATATGAGTATGCATGATTAATAAAACATCCTTTTCAAATATACTCAAACAAATGTTTAGTTTGCTTTTTCTATCCCCCAAGAAATGATAATACTGTTTCTGATTTGTATATGACAACATGCAGCAACAAAAGGAAAACGCAATAATTTATTTGAGTATGGAGGTATTAGTCAGACAAAACAAAAACTATCAAAAGTAAAGGATTCAATGCTTTACACACCCGCTGTCGTTTCTTTTCTTGTTCCTTGTCTTGCCGTAATGTAATATACTCCTCGAGCATGGAAAGAAGATGAACCTGATTGATACATCTAGACAGATTAGAAGAAGGCAAATACAACAATTAATACTTTCTCGGCAGAGATGTATATACTTACACCATCATACAAGAACTCGAGACCTCTTTCTTCCTCCCAATGTTGAGTTTTTGCAGCCAAAGCCTCAACCATCCCTGCATAGCATTGAGAACAATCAAAATCAGCCAGCCAAAGATAAACCGGACCAGCCAGTTAATATAATATAGATACTTGCAAAGGTAACAAACATTTTGACAAGGTTGAAGACTTAACGAGAATCATATCTCAACATCTCTAGATATTATGCTGACTAGCAAATATTTGTGAAATACATTCATAAAACAGTTTTTCGGAAAGTACATACTGCATGAAGGTTTCATAATCCGACCATTACGTTGGGAACTCCTTCTAACCCTCTAAATTTTATCACAATTTAATAGTGAGAACAGGCACTCCATTAAAAAGGGGAAGTGAGGATATAAGCAAAGGAAGTGCTAAATCAATTCCCATCGCATGCTGCTGTGAAGCCTATAATATAAAACTGCTCCCAGATTCTGGCTGTTACATCATCTTGGGAGTTGGGGTACAGCGTGATGTTGTGATGTTTACCTGGAAGCTTATTAACTATTGTTCGTGCTTTCTCTGCACGTTTGAGGATGAGATGAGAACCTCTTCCGGCATTGTATCTATTTTCATCCTGACATAGAAGTGAGGCATCTGTCAACACCTTACAAAGATAATACGAGAAAGTAGCAAATTATGGGCAAACCAAGAACTACCATATTATACTGTTCAAGCCACTCCTCCTCCTCACAGGCAGATAACCACTTCTCAACTTTTTCCAGAATATCTTTGCGGCTAAAAGCTTCTTCTTTGACCTTGGAAACTTCTAGTTCCATTTGTTCGAGGACAGAAGCAGGGTCCAATGCTCCTAAATAAAGAGGATTGAACATTGTGAAAATAAGCACAAAATAACAAAATTAACAATAAAATGCCAAAAGCAAGTAATCTGATTCTGTTGCCCCCCTTTTTTTTTTAAACTCCTGATTCTATTGCCTCAATCACCACACAATAACAAAATTACAATAAAATGCTGAAAGCAAGTTACCTGATTCTATTGCCTCAATAAGATGTTCTGTTTCATCATCTAATGCAGGAATCATATGTGTCTTCCGACAAATTTCATCTAACTCTGCCCTCTTCTTCAAGACAAGCTCTTTCATCTTACTTGATTTAAGCTCTTCTAGCCTGGAAACTTCTGCCCCAACCTGCACAATTGCATGTATTTATTTTCGATGAGATCAACAATTCCTAAACCACCAATATATTTGTTAGAGATTTCAGGAAAAAAAAATATACAGATAAGAGGAATGCTTCTCACGTATTGAATAAAATCTGCTGAAAGCATGTTGGGGCCGGTTATCTCATCTTCTGAAGCAGCAATATTACATGTGACATGTTGAAATGGTTGTTGTTCTTCAACTGGTGTATCCATCAGATTCCAGAGCTCCAGCAACATGGTAGCAAGGTCTTGGAGCTGCACAAGATTTTAAAAGAGCACACAAGTTTAGCCAATAAGAAATTTAACTTAGAAGAAAGCAAACAATAAACTAATCCAAAAGACCGCATTTCTGTACCCTCTGTCTCCTCTGAAGCTTAAGCTCTCGCAAACTCTTTACGGAAGACTCCAGTTGTTGAAGCGTATGAGAGCTTATACTATAATTTCCTTCAGATTCAACTAAACTGGGATGAAGTTCTTTTACAGTTTCCTTATAGTCCAATCCAAGGACAGAGCACAATAAACTCAATGCACTTAGGTTCTCCAGGACTTGCTTCAGGCGATCACTCTGCAAGTTGATGACCGGATAGGATTAAATAAATATTTATAGACTAAAATTTTTGCTGCTAGAGAAATCAGCACAGTCTGAAGCCTTGAATTGAAGAGAAAGAGGCGTTATTAATCAGAAACAAGCGCACCTTCTCCATTTGCAAGGATTGCAGTTGTTTTTGCAATTCTTCAAGCCTTCTTAGAGTCAAGTCATTGTCATCCACAGATTCCGTCGAGCTATCATATCCAGCTGATCCATGTATTGCTATTGATACATTTTGAATCTGTTCAATGAGCTCAAGAAACTGATTCTTCCTGTCTGCTTTTCTTTTCCGCATCTCTTCTAGTTGTGAAAGAATGGCATTGAGTTCCTCCTTTAAACTTCCAGACTTTTGCTCAGTCTGAATTATATATAGCTTAGTTTATTATTCCTCATTAATTGGCATAAACAAACGTTATTAGAAACTGATCAAAGAAGTTAATCTGAATACGTCTTCTTAATCACAATATTAATCAACAAAGATTAAACACGGAATCATGGATCAATTTGATTTTTTCTAACTAGTAAGTGGCAACTGACAAAAGTAGCATGCAAGTCGTTTTGGAAAGAAATGTAGCTTAGATACATCACATGTCAGAGGAATTACACAGCATTACAAAATTAAATATCCTGCTCAAGCATTCTAAAAAGAAGTAAAAGGATACTAATCCTACCAAATTCACAAATCAATTATTTCAACAATTACCTGTCTGATATGTACCGGAAGTTCTCCAATCGCAGAACAGATGGCTGCAAGTTCTGCCTCTGAATCAGCAATAGACTGTCGTAGCTGAGCTCTAGAGCAGTTAGCCACATCAACTTTTCTCCTGTATACTTCAAGGCATTCTTGTTCAAGCTCAAGTAGCATCTTATCCCTTGCTGTTTCAGACTCACCCACCTCATCCCATATTATCTAAAGAAAACAATAGACAAAAAAGAACAAAGTCAATCACTGATGAAAACACACTTAAGTATAAGGTACTATCCTTGAAATGCTGCTAACTTGTACCATACCTGAAGTTCATACAAAAGAGACCCACATGTAGTTTCTGCTTGTGAACGAGGATCATTGTGAATGTCACCCATATTAATAGATATCTATAACCACCAAATGTATTAACCTGGAGAAGGGTTATTGAGAGAGATAAGCAAAAACAGAAACAAATTAAGTTAAAAAAAAAGGACTGCACTTTGATATTGAACCAAAACTAAAGTCTAATATGGTGCACCTAGGTGCAAAATGCACGAGCACCACTATATAGCGATGCATACACTACACAATGCAAACAAACCGACAATAACTACACCGAATTCCTTCAGAGAAATTACATAGAATTAATTTTGACTCAATAAGCTTTGATTACTAAACTGTGCTATGAAGAGCTCTAATTTGACCTAACGATCCACTAATTTCGCACCACGACACCACAAACAATAAAGAAAAATACAAATAAGTTTTACAATAATATAAACCTGTACCCATGAAAGGAATATAATCCAGTTAATGTACACATCAAGCTGCTCAAACAATGGCATTAATGACATAATCTATGAACTACCATGTACAATTAATTAGCTAAAGGGTTTTATCAATTGTAATCAATAATCATTTATTAATTGTACGGAGTAACTTTCATCATCAGCAAAACCCAAAATCAAACATACAAAAAACAACAATCCAATGAAAAATGCAAAGCAACAAATTTATTAATCAACGAATTTACAATAAGCAAACCCTAATTTCGGCATTGAAAATTGCAAATTAGGCAAGTTATCAAATTCGGATCAAACATCTGTAAATCAAATTGCATAAACATTCGATTAAGACACTCACATTTGCCAAATTATAAACAAAAGTTAACCAAAATCAAAAATGAAAAAAAACCCAATTAATGGAAAACAACAGGTAGAATTAGGGCTTAGGAGGGTCAAATTTAGGTGGATGAATAATTAATGGTCAGTCAATTATAAGTTAGGTAGAAAAACAAGCTAAAAATAGTAAATTTAGAAGTAAATATAGACCGACAGAAAGCTAATAAATCGGGAGGAGAGAGAAATTGTAAGAACACTAACCTTGAACAAAGAAACAGATTAAGGAAAAATGTCGGCAAATTATGAAATTTAGGAGAGAGAAAATGAGATTGAGAAAGAATGAAGATGATGATGCAGAAGTAATGAGGTATGGGGTGAGGGAGACAAGGATTATGAAGAAATTCGACCGTTACCAGAGGAGGTAGGAGCGCTGAATAATTAATATGAAAATGGGAGAGATTTTCTATTTGTTTATTTTTCATAAGTGTATTTTTTTTTTTTTTAAGGATTTTTAAGTATTATTGTACAATGCCTAAAAATAAGGAGATGAGGAAATTGTGGAGAGTGTTAAGAAGTTGAGGAGGTTGATATTGTAATGGAGTTGCTTAGACTAGGTAAAGGGCGGCCGGGCGGGGCTAGAATAGCGTGTGTGTATGATTTGATTGTGGGTTTTTAATATGTTGATTTAATTTGATTCTTAGGTTGCATATATAATTTGAGAGAATAGCCAAGTCACAAGTATTTGCATATTACAATTAGGTTTTACATTTATCTTGATTTATATATGTAAGATCATTAAGTAAAGAAAATGAGTCTAATATCATTATTTTATACTCCGATTTATACTATTTCTATTGTATAATTTTATCAAAAATAATAATAATAAAAAAAAAAACTTATTATCATATTTCATTTCTATCTATTTTATTATGATTTTAACATATATATACTTTATTCTACTTCAATCTATACCACTTTTATTATCTTATTTTTCTTGTCTCATAATAACATTTTTTGCGCTTGTCCTTTCTTACTTTATCCACCTTTTTCTTATATCTGCTCGTGACGAGCTTTATAGTTTTCAATCTTATGCTAATAGAAATATACCAAGGATTCTCAAATTACTGAATTAGATCATTCAACAATATACCACTACACCTTTGGCTTTCCCAATTGATTATCAAGTTACTCAAACTTCATATTAGAAGCAACGGAAAAATCCCCAATAGGAAGTTTGGTTATAAATTTGAATCTATAAAAACATGTTAAGCACACAATATTTAACAATTAATTTTCACAATGAGAACAATGAATGATCACAGACAGGTTAATGAACTGTCTCATGAAAGAATACTACAAAAACTAGAAGGCAGAATTTTGGTTGCCTTCAAACTCTCGCCTGATGAGTTCAAGCATAAGCTCATTCCATGTATCAACAGGACCAGGCATACACCAATGCAAGCAATCTTGTGGAGGTGGACGCCCATTCGGATCCCTCTTTGTGATCTTATTCGGGTCAAGGCTCCGGTATGGACCTGGATGACCATCATGACGATACTTGAAAGCTTCTGTAATATCCATCAACTTCAATTTTGATTCATTAGTCCGTTTCTTAACAGCCTGGTGGAAGCCTGCAGTCTGTTTATCGTGCATGATATTCGTGTACTCGTGCTCCACCACTTGACCGGGAAATAAAGGTCTATCTTTACCTGTACACGATCCACCAGTGTTCCATGCACCATTCTCATAGTGATCAGGCGAATAAGACGTGACTATTGTTAGTCCCGAGTAGTTGGAATGAGTAGCCAGAGCAGTCAAGCTAGTCTCAGTAGATATTTCATATGCTTCAGTGCTGGTTATGTTCATTGCCAGATTTTCTGGTGAGTTCCACAATTGTGTTCCAACAATCTCGTTGTTTAACAAATAGACTGATCGCTTAGGAAACCAGTGGCCGTTGGAAAAGACTACAACATCAGATTTTGGTGTGAGTTCCATGAAGGTTTCATCAGGAACATCGAGGTGGATCTTCGTGATTCCATCTGGAACATAGCTGAAAGGTTCTGTTGTATGATGTACAAGCCATGCAGACCAAAAACGAATTATTGTTACAGAGTTTGATTTAAAAAACCAGCGCTGCATACGACGGTTCCCTCGATTTCGTGGAACTTCAACCTAACAACCATAAAGAATATATTTTGTTCAGTCTTGGCAATACAAGAATGCAAGTGAAACAACTAAGTGTCAAAGAATACTCTGGAATTACCTGCCAAAGTATGCACAAAAGAGACTCCATCTGGTTGCGAGCAACAGAGTCGCCGACAAAAGTTATGGTTTTTCCACTCATCAGCTCCAAAAATTTGGTTGCGTTAAATCTTGGGAGTTCACACTGTGATGGTTTCCATCTCCAGTTCTCGTACTCTTTGTCCGGCCTCCCATTTCCTTGGCAATTTTGATTCTGACTAAGGATAGGACATGTATTGTTTGTGTACAAAGGCCCTTCAGGGTCATAGTACCATTGCCCATCGTACAGGTCACAATCTACAAGTTTGACAATGAAAAAAGGAATTTATATTCATACTAAATTGAAATTTGATCTGATACCATCTTGACTTCTGTATAATACAGCAACTTGCATTCATAAACAACTACAGAAATTATGATCAAGTGAACAGAGAAGTAGGAAAACTACACATAAACAAGCAATCACAATCGCAAACAATTGCAATCAAGAATCACAATTTAGAGACATTCATAAGTTTGTAACCAAACTAACCCGACCCAAACCCATACAAGCCGGTTTAGCAGTTTTGGCCATTATTATCTAGCCAGAAATGTGTTTTATACAAATAGAAATAATCACCTGCTCAGTCTAACCAAATTCTAAAGGGCTTGAGAAGCTGTTTTGGCCTAATGCATAGACCTTCTATTAGCTCGGCCCTGCCCATGATCAACTTGCAGTATACAATACGTGCAAGTTGAAAGCGAGGAAGTTGAAGAAAATCATGTAAGCTGAAAAGTCAACATAGATTGGCTATTGATGCACTCAAACTCCTTTGGAAACCAAATGTAATGTATATGAAATCTGACTGCTTGTGCTGGGATACTCAGTAACATACCTGTCCTCAGGAGCAATTTGATTATATAATGCAATTAAAGATGATCTAAGTAGAAAGCTTATGTTCTTCCAGTCACTCATCGATAAAAACAATTTGTTGGACAATACTTAAAACAAATAACACACAACGTACAAATTCCAAAATAATGCTGTTATTAAGCATCCTTTTCTTTGAACTATTTAAACATGCTTCACAAATAGGTTAGCTGATTTACAGATTAAAAAAAAAAAAATAGTGGCTTGAACCAAATTTAAGGAAAACACAAGCATAAGCAGATAAGGCTCACATCAAGGCAAGTTACAAAGCCTACCTGAACTATCTGAGCCTTCACTGCTTTCAGTTTGATTCCGAACAGGTTCAGTTTCTCCTGTAGACGCATCCACCTCCAATTCCATCTCTACTTCTGACTCATCATCATGGTCAGGTTTGGCTACATGCCCACCTTCCTGGGAAACAACAGAATCTGAATCTTCTGCAAGATTAGCCCCATAAATATAGTTTGTAGGGACCAACCTGTTGGGCCGTGACAATATGAACCAAGAATCCCAGGTTACAAATATTGTAAGTAGCACACCTAAAATTGCAATCGAAGAGGCTACTCTTCGATAGTTAGAGGACCTAGAATAGTCTCTAGAATAAGCCGAAGTCATAGCTACAAACTTGTGTTTTCTGAACTAGACCAACCATTAATACTTCACTTCTTCAACTAATATAACAATAAGCACCCTGCCTTCTTTCTTAGCACATGGAAATTATGCTTCCATTCAATTATGCCAAAATTGCGTCGGCTTGTGCTAATCCGGACAGCTAAATATGGCAACTAGACAAAGAAAAATCGATGCTGATTGATAGCGAATATGTGAACAGCTTGGATTAAATAAATACCAGTAATATGTATCACGCAGCCTAATGACATAAGAAAGACATTAATAATAGAATAACGACATAATAATAATTAAATAAGTTAAAATTATAGTGTAGAACCCAAAACATCTACAAGAAGCTTTCTGGCGTATTCCATCCACAACCAGGTTAAAATAAAACCTGATTCAATGGCAAAAATTTATCTGCTATTTTCCGTTAAATCAGACCCCTCAAACAAGAAACACCTACAGTGTAAATTTCTGCTTCGACAATAAATACTTTACAAGTATTTGTAACAATGATAAGATAGCAAAGTATCAGAGGCTACCTAGCTATTGATAAATATATATCGTCAGTTAGACGGTAGGGTTTTGGTTACCCTCAAACTCTCGTCTTATAACTTCAAGCACAAGCTCATTCCAGGTATCAACTGGGCCTGGCATACACCAATGGAGGCAATCTTGCGGTGGTGGCTTTCCATCTGGGCCTCGCTTTGTGATTTTATTCGGGTCAGGGCTCCTATATGGGCCTGGATGACCATCATGCCGATATGAGAAGGGTTCAGTGATGTCCAACAGCTTCAATTTCGAACGGTTTGTCTGCTTTTTAACAGCCTCATAAAATCCATTCACTTGTTTCTCGTGCATGATATTCGTGAAGTCGTTTTTTCACCAACTGACCCGGCAATATGGGCCTCACTTTTCCTGTACATGATCCACCAGTGTTCCACGCACCGCCCTCGTAATGATCAGGTGAGTAAGCCCGAAGAATGGTCAGTCCAGTAAAATTAGGATGTGTAGCCATGGCAGTCAAGCTTGTCTCAACAGAAATTCCAAATGCGTCAACATTATTAATATTCAGCGGCTGCTGCTTCTTTGGTGGGGACCACAACTGGGTTCCAACCATCTGGTTATTCAACATGTAGACTGATTGCTTTGCAAACCAATGACCAGAAGAAAGTACAACCACATCAAAGTTTGGGATATTTTGCATGAAAACTTCATCTGGGACATCAAGGTGCAGTTTGGCAACTCCTGATGGAAGATCACCAGAAGCTTCAGATGTTTGATGGACAAGCCATGAAGACCAAATGCGAACTATCATAACTGACTTTGATTTGAAAAACCACCGTTGCATATGACGGTTTCCTCGATTCTTTGGAGTTTCAACCTAAAACAACAATGAAATAAAGAGCTAAGCATAACTGAACCACGATACCTAACATATTATGAAATAAAGAGACTCACAGTTTTCAAAATTCTCACTAATAAAGCTGGTTAAAACTAGCAGATCCAACCCAGATTGTTTAATTAGGCTCTTTTCCACTAGACCTGTTCCAATTTTACTGGATTTTGGCAGAGGCCGAACTGGGCAAACTCTGGTTTAGACTGGTTTGAGTGGACCAATTTTTTTCGCAACAGCTAAGCCCATGATCAGCTCTAACCTAGTACAGAAAATCCTAATAAAAAGAATAACTGGTTGATAGGGGAAAAATAAAAAAAAATATAAAAAAACGAAGTATAAGGAAATCTTAGGTGTTACACTTATAAATTCATAAGTTTAAGGGATTCAGTAATGCAATATCTTTTTGACAAACAATATACTACATCCTTACTCTTGCCTATCACCAAACAAATTAAGGGGAACAAAAAAAAGGACAGTAGGAATGTTTAGGGAGGAATAGAAACTACATGAACATATGCTATTTACCTGCCACAATAGGCACATAAGAGATTCCATCTGGTTTCTTGCAACTGAATCGCCAACAAAAGCCAGAGTTTTCCCCTTCATCAACTCTAAAAATTTGGTTGCATTAAATCTTGGAAGCTCACACTGTGCTGGCTTCCATCTCCAGCTCTCATATTCCTTGTCAGGCCTCCCATTACCTTGACAATTTTGCATTTGAGTGATAACAGGGCATGAATTGTTTGTGTAAAGAGGCCCAGCGGAATCATAGAACCATTCACCATGATACAAATCACACTCTGAAGAGAATTTCAAAGAAAATTCAATTAAAAAATCAGAAAGCTGGCCAAAACAGTATTCAAGTGAATTATAATGCTAGCATGTATATAGTATTATTGATAGAATCAGATTACAATGCTTCAAGTCAGAAACTCAAAGCACATGTTGGTAGGTTAAACCAATACTTACAATCTCCATTTGCAAACTAGCCAGTAGCCAACTCCAAAGGGATAGTTTCTAATTTTCTACAGTATATGCTTCAGTGCACATAACTCAACAAAGAACAACAGAATAATTTATTTTTAAATTACAAACTCATTTTGCACGTATCAGGATCCACTGCGTTCCAGATGCTTCCTTCTATACTGACCAATTCAATTTTTTCTAGTTCATTCAATGCATCTGATGATAGAAACTAAAGCATAAACTCTTAATTGACAGGACAAGGACTTCAAGATTCAAAGAATAAATGTACTAAAGATGTAGCACAACAAATTTAGAACGTTGGTGAAAAATAGGGTTATGACTCTTATGAGATGATGTGATGAATATATCACTTTCATTAGTTTCTTTTCATGTATCAACAGCAGATTGAACATCCTATATTTGCCAGTCTCTCAAGCCAATGTTAAAAAGTGTCAAGATTCAAGAAGTAATTAAAAGACCTCACAAAAGCATGAAAATGAATGCATTAATTATAATCATAGAAAGGAATTTAATTCAGAAAAATCAAAAAAAATTAAAAAGGCATCAGCAAGCTAAGTACTACAAGCAGCATGGAAAAACACAGTAGATCCGCAACCAAAGAGCATTAATAGTGAAAGAAAAATTAAACCAACAGTGACTCAGGGCACAAAGGCTAACCTGAATCAACTGATTCTTTGCTATCAGTATTGCCAGGTGAAGTCTCTGATTTAAGCAAATCAGCTGAGGCATCATTGATCAATTCATCTTTCGGCGAATCTCTATCATCCATAGGTAGAGGGTTGTTGGTAGCTTTTTCCCTAGGAATTTCCATAGGTTGAGTGTTATTAGTAGCTTGCTCTACAGGAATTTCAGTAGGTAAAGTGTTATTAGTAGCTTGTTCCCTGGGCATAGTATCATCACCAGAAGGCACCTCTTTCTGGCTACCTTCAGCATTTTGATTTTGACTGCCTTCAACATTTTTATTTTGGATATCTTCAACACGTTGATCTTTGCTGATTTCAGCATTTTGATTTTGATTATCTTCACCAGGTTGATTTTTGCTACCTCCATCATTTTGTTTTTGATTTTGATCTTTTTCAGTTGTACCCTCAGACTTAGCCAAATCTATGTCACTAAAATCTGTCTTGTCCTCACCGCGAACTTGACTCCCATTTAAACCTCCCAATGATACAGACAGACCCAAATCACTCGTCTGATCAACCCCATAAAAATAGCTCCGAACAACAGTCCCAACTGGGAATGACAACAAGATCCAAGAAGCCAATGTAATGAATACAGCCAGTAACCCAACTGAGATTATTATAGACGACAATGCGCGTGGATAATTAGATGCCGAACCATAGTCTTTGTGTGAAGCTAAAGCCATTCCTGCTATCTAGTATCTTCTCTACACTAAATCAACCATTTACAGATTGCACCAAAAATGAAACTTTCAATAATAATTGCAATTGCCAATTTTTGCAATAACACCCTATTAGAGCACAAATATAAAGCTCTAGATAGGGTTTCAATCAACCCACCAAAATCAATATAAATACCCAAATAATAGCAGAACATCACCTTCAACCACTTGTGAAGAACATTAAATCAATATTTTCCTGCAAATTAGACAGCCCAATATTCAATACATGAGCATTTATCCTTAAAATCAACAATTTAACAACAATCATTTCAAAATGAATAGACCCCCATAATTATCCCATCATAATTATTGATAAATTAATCAAATTCACTGTAATTATGGCAAACTTTTTCCAATAACAACCAACTAAAGCATTCAACAAAGCATAATTAATCAATACTCCGTACAAAATTAACACAAATCTAAATATAAGCACAAAAATAAAATCATTTCCTTCATTTAGAAGAAAACCCACGAAAAATAATCAAATATAATAAAATGAAGGAGAGAAACTAACCAGAAAATTGAATAAAAAACCCAGATGCAATGTAAACCGTCAAAACAGAGAGAAGAAGAATGTTGTGCGACAGCGGAAGCAAAGGTCGAAAACAAACAAGAAAACAATAAAGAAATTCAATGCAAACAATAAGAACAACACCAAGAATTTACGTGGTTCACTATCGATGTGATAGCTACGTCCACGGGCACTGAGATCGAATGATTTCACTATAAACTGCAAAGATTACAAAGATGATTCTTGTATTTCTCAAGAACGGCTCTCCCTCTCTCTCTCTTAACCCTTATACTAATATTAGGGAGGTTTTATATTAATCCCTAAAATAAAAGATACTTGGGCAAAAAGATAACATAAAAGATAACTTTAAATCGTAAAATCCGCGTCCCGTATTTTTCCTTCTCCGCCCGGTCAGACCGGGCAAGGTCTGCCCGATCGGGCGCGAGAAGAAAACTCCATACGAATGCTTCAACGTATCCAACCCCCACCGCCCGGTCAGACCGGGCAAGGTCTGCCCGATCGGGCGAAGGCTCGCCCGGTCGGGCGAAGGCTCGCCCGGTCGGGCGAAGGCTCGCCCGGTCGGGCGCGAGAGCAGCTTCTTCAACGAATTTGCCAGGCACCTCTTCTTCTTCCGCCCGGTCAGACCGGGCAATGTCCGCCCGATCGGGCGGACAAAGCTACGAAGTACGAGTCACCTAATATACTTATCAACAATCTCCACCTTGACGAGAACTCGTAGTCAGCAAACGACCCCATCAAGACATAGTGAAAAAACATCTCAAGCCAAACCCGATGCAGGACTCATGCATAAGCCATACATCCCGATAAGTCTTCAACCAAGACCCATCACATACTCGTCTCCAAGTATAACAACTCATAATGCTCCACCTGCATC